AATGATTGGAGAGATTTTATAGGTCTTCTCTATACTTTATACACCAAGCTTGAGACTTGGACTTAGAAACGGCACATATATAGATAAACTTATATTTTCTCTTGGGCGACAGGGAGTCTGTTTTCCTGTAGATTTTACTCCAGGACTTAGACTTAGGAATAGCACATATATAGATAACATTATGTTTTCTTTTGGAAGACAGGGAGTCAGTTTTCCTGTAGACCAGGACTAACACTTAGAAATAGCACATATATAGATAAACCTATCCAATGTTTTCTCTTAAGCTGTTGGGTTTTTCTGTAGACTTAACACCAAGCCTTAGACTAAAACTTAAACAAGACCCGTATAAATTTATGAATTTAAAAAAAATATCTGTCAAAACTGTGCTTTATGTATTATTTACAGAGCACTTTAGAGGAGTATTAACAGTTTTTTCTGTAGTCTTAACACAAAGCCTGAGATTATTAAAAAAAAATGCTTTTATGGTTAAAGTATAGTGCTTAATGTATTATTTACAAAGCTATTGGTTATTTTTACTTGACTTTACACCAAGCCAGTGAGTTACATTAAAAATGGCACATTTATGTTATATGCTTTTGTATAATTTGTGAGGTGTCATTGGCTGACAAAAACAATTGAACAAATAAAAACAGTATAATACTACAGATCAGATGGTAGAAAAGCATATTGACTGTAAAGATGACAGTAATTATAACAGACTGTGTTGAAACAGATAATAACTATTAAAACAGTTATAAAGTCTGACACTTATATATTACTGTTAGATATGAACAGCACTAGTAATTACTCTAACAGGAATAGCCGACTTGACAAATTACCTCTGCCTTAATCCACAAGGTCCAATGCTCTTAGTTATTAATAGAACTAGAATGTCCTGTAAAGATAAGAGTACCAGATTAATATTTCGCTTCTGTGCTGATATTGAAATTGCCCATCTACAGTTTGAGCTGTCCATCTAGAGCTTGAGCTGATGTTGAAAATATCCATCTAGAGCTTGGGCTGATGTTGAAAATATCCATCTAGAGCTTGGGCTGATGTTGAAAATATCCATCTAGAGCTTGAGCTGATGTTGAAAATATCCATCTAGAGCTTGAGCTGATGTCAAAATGTCCATCTAGAGCTTGAGCTGATGTTGAAAATTGAAAGCAAAAGCCTCATTTTATTACTGAATAAGAACATTAGATACCATACTGGGAGACCCCATGGAAGAACTGATACTGTCAATTATAGACTGATACTGTACATATTTATGATTAATGTTGTTTTTATTCTGATTCCAATGAAAGGAAGTGTCTCAGCATGTCTGTATTCTATAAATTATACTAGTAGGATATTATCAATATTGTTTCATTGTCCAACTACCACTTAACATGGTGTAGAGTGCTAACCACAGGCAGCTGCTCCTTTGTACTGTTGCTGGCTGTCCATTTCTTTCTGTCACTTCAGCCATCATATAACTTGGTGTAGAGTGGTAACCAGAGGAAGCTTTTTCTTTGTACTGTTGCTGGCTGTCCATTTCTTTCTGTCACTTCAGCCATCATATAACTTGGTGTAGAGTGGTAACCAGAGGAAGCTGCTCCTTTGTACCATTGCTGGCTGTCCATTTCTTTCTGAAACTTCGACTATCACTTAACTTGGTATAGAGAGCTAACCAGAGGATGTTTGTACTGTCCATTTCTTTCTTTGAAGCTTTGACATTAACTAGATCTCATCATATCTTCAAAGCATCTAAAACTGTTAAATATCTTTACCATGCTGTGTGGTGTTTGCGAGTTCCTTGGTTTGGCAACAAATGTACCTGACTTCCCCTCTTATGAATTAATTTTGGACCAATAATTTTGTTTTATTGAAACAAAGTGTTATCCATTTATCCATTCCCTTCCCAACTCAACATTTTTGCTGATCTTGTGAAATAATACAAGGATGAAAATGACTGCCTTTAGCATACATTATTTGTCTGGTAATCTATTTTGGTCAAAGGAAAGTAATTGTATCTTCTGTACATGTTAATATGTCAGACCATTGTTAGTAATATTAAATCACAGTAGGGAAGCACCATCAGTCTTGTCCACTAATGATTACCTTATACTTTATATTCTTTGAAGATCTGAAAGGAAGTTTTTCATTCTTTTCAAGACATTGCAACATTTTTTTTTCTTTTCATGTCATAAAATTTTAGATCAAATTTGTTTTAGAAAGTGTTTTCTTTTGGTAAAAAAAATTAACTGGATGTTATGGAATTGGATTGATTGGCTAACTTTAATTTGTAGTTAAATCAAATTGGTATACAACCAGATCTCACGAACTTGAATATGACAAGAAAACATTAGGCCATAATATGTGCTATTTACTGTGTCTGTAAAGATTTCTGGACAGATGATATTGATAAAGAAAAAAGAGTAATGCCTCTGTTATGGACGTTCTCAATACCAACTTAACAGCAGAAAGTTTGAAGTAAACTCCATACAAATTGAAATGAAAGTTTGGCTTTTCATAAAACATCAGAATTGTTTACGTAGAAATTAATAATTGAACACAATTCACAAACTTCATTGTTTATTATTATGAAATATCATTATCGGAACTAGCAGATGTATATTAATTATTTAAACTCTTATATCATCTAATTTGATTACGAATGCCAAAGTGTTGTCGGTCTGTATTGATCTTGAATGTATTAATATGCCAGTGAATTTATGGTCTTTCTTAATGCTCTGTGACCATTTAAAAGGATAAGTGCGCCATTTTGTGGGGGCTGTACTAGAAATGTATGAAAATTGCATAATTCCTTCATAAATAGATGTCTTTTTCTATATATGACAGTCTCAAGAAAGGACGACTCATCATTTTAACTGTCATATGCAGATAATTCGGGACACACATGGATTTGAGGACTTAAATTTCTGAGCTATGAACACTAAATTTACCGTTCTCAGGCTAAGGTACAAATTTGTGCATCTGTCCCTTTAAAACACATTGCATGATGTTAATCTTGGGCTTCCCAGACTTGATTTTGTAGAAAAAAAAAACTAGTCAAGATCAAAAAAAATAAATCAACAAGTTGGCAAAACGCAGACACTTAAAATATAACCGATTAAATTGTAGACTGCATGTAATGAAATTGGGTTAAGTATAAGATCAGTTGAGTTTTTTTAAAGTTTCTATTAATGTCAGTGCTTGTTTTATTGATAAATCCTCTTTAATGGTCAGTCTATCTCTCTATAACAGAAAGTCGTAAACCTAATTTCACTATATTAAGAAGTTCAGTATAGCACCTAATCACCTAGCAGACGACAATCGAACTTTCTACCAATCAAACCATCACATTGCTAAATTTTCAGAACATGGATATGTTTTGTTTTCAATCTGGTAGGACCAAGGCATTAAGATAATCTTGATAAGCAAAAACTTGCACAATGTTTAAAAAAAAGCTTACTCTTGAAGCAAAGACATCAAAAATGATTAACATAACACTAAAAGCATGTTATTTGATCAGGCTCTCCATAAGTCACGGTTCAATTTCAACGGTTTCAAATTGCAGTTTGCGAGTCAAAATGACAATTTTTGCAATCCAATATGGCCTATAAATTTATTGTAAAGATCTGCGAACCAAATCAAATTGTATATTTTTTGTGAGAATTGTTTGCCAAATCTAGAAGAAAGCGGTAACTCTCAGCCTTCAGAAACAAACATCATTGGCAAGTTCGATCTGAAGTCTTGAATGTTTAGCTACTGAATTTCAACGAACTGGGAATTAAAATTTAACTTGATTAACCAAAACTGAAATTTGGTGTGATAATTTGTTAATCATATTTTACAATCTTGCTTTCTTTAAGTGGAGTGGTAGGGCCTTGACTTCATTAGTTCAAATGTGCTTAGATGGATGTATATTATGTTCTAAAAAACTTAACATTATTGTTAATGATATTGTACTGTATGTATCAACATGAAGAATCAAGTTGGTCATTCAACTTCCAACATTATTTCATCTCAAATCACTAATTGACAAGAACTCAACCTTGTAAGTTGACACGTGTCTGAACATCACATAAAAGTTATAATTATGTCAATATCACTTGTTATGCTTGTCAACTAACATAAGCTTATGTATCTTTGACAACAAAAAGAAACATGTTTACCTTCTAACTGCTGTTGATCTATGTGTCCTTTAGATATATAGGATTTCCTAATGTTACTAAAAGATTGCATAAAAGACTGTATAAGGGAACCCTTTCTATGTATTTTAACAAGTGTATATAGTAAAGCCAAGGGTAAATAGTGTGTATGTCATGTATATTTGATATATCTCTACAGTAGGTCAACACATTTGATACTATTATTAGATTTTTTACGCATGAATAATAAACTTATACAACACACCTATTGAACTATATGGTCAGGTAATATTTAAAGGTGTTATACCTTGTAGTGAGAGATATAGTGCCTATGGACCCAAATGGACTCAATTGGCCTAAAGTCAATGATATTATATTTTAAATTTGATCTTTATTGCTGGGGTTTTCATCTTTTTTCTTTCTGTTAAGACCATTGATTATTCTATTACCCCCCCTTTCGCTGACTGTATGAGCATGTGAAACATTGAGTTAATAAATATCAGAAATAGTATATCCATATATCTTGTGTTTCTTTATCTTATACACATGTTTCCAAAAAAAAGGTGTTTATAAATCCTATTGTTTATTTGGTTACAACTGTTACCTAAGGCAATAAGTTACCTTGTATTTATACTTACTCAGGTTTGACATTGACTTGCTTATAGTAATCTTATTACTTCATATAAGATAATACCTGACTTGAATTTTATCCAAATCTAACTAAAATATCAACAAATATAAAATAATATTTTATCAAGGGAATTACATTACCATTTTTACATAGAGACATTTTTAGTCAACTTTCTTTCTTTTTCGCTGTAATCAGACTTGACTGGCTAAATCCATTATCTTTTCTATTTTCAGGTATGTTGTTCTAGAAGTAAGAATCCAACACCAGAATTAAAGGCCAGAATAGAAGAACTGCTGCAAGGTAAAAAAAAGAAAAAAAGCTACTTTCATTTTAGATTTGACATTTTGAACTGAAACTGATGAATTTCATTTCTTTTCTTACGTTCAAATTCCCATGGCTAACACCCAAAAACAATTAATTGAACATTGAAAAGGGTACCTTTTGTGCTGTTGGCATTGGAACACAGCTCTTAGACTGTTTCTGTGATTTTTACGAGAGCTATTTGGATTTTCAGGATTATGTTATGTTCCATTGTTACGATCTGAAGATAATACTACAGCTCCAGTGATTGGTCAACCATGGTCACCTGATAATATACTGGAACCCCATGATTTATTAAATAAAAACCCCACAGATCCTCAGCTGACTGTCAGAGCTTATGCTGGTCCCATGTCCCCATCGCGGGTAAGTTCTGTTCCTCCCCAGCTTCTTTCAAAATAAAATTTTGGCAGTTGTAGAAAAGTATAGGAAACTCCAATAGATCTGTACTTAAATAATAAGCCCAGTTGCAGAATGGGTTCTTGTCTTCTGAAAGTGTGATGTTGCTATAATAAATTTTTCTTTATTTTCTTTTATTTGGTTAACCTTTTCACCATCTTTTGTGTTCTACTTCAAGTTCGGATTCTTAACCCCCATTTCAGGCTAGAGTATTCCATAGACAGTGGACCACCCCACCCTCACCATCTCCTAGGAAACAACCATCTCAGTCTAATCCTAGGAGAGAAGATGGAGATAAGGGTCTTGAAAGAATAGGCAGGTAGGTTGAGGCTAAAAGAATGACTATTTTATATGCCCACTTTATAATGTAGAGGTAGATTGTCGTCACCCATATCTGTCCGTTGGTCTGACTGTCCACAATTGGCTTATGAACGCGATAGAGACTACAGTTTTCATCTGATTCGAATGAAATTTGGTGTGATCATTTATATTGATGACATTTTGGACAAGTTCGATATTGACGATTTTTTGATGAACGTTTTTTGAGTTATTGCCCTTGACTTAGCCAAAACGCGTCAAAATTGGCTTGTGAACGCGATAGAGACTACAATTTTGATCTGATTTGAATGAAATATGGTGTGATCATTTATATTGATGAGATCTTGGGCAAGTTCCATATTCACGATCTTTCGATGAACGATTTTTTAGTCATTTCCCTTGACTTAGTAAAAACTCATCAAAATTTGTTGGTGATACAGGTGACAGTTTATGTCAGAATTTTATTAAATAATGTGTCTTTGTTTAAATCAACAATATCTTGCACAAGTTAGATTTTTGGTATGATTTGACACAGATAGATGACTACCCTTGATATACTCAAAATCTATCAGGAAAGTGGGCGTATCTTGCTAGGCAACCACTTGTTGTTGTCTCAAGATCAATACACTTTTAGTTATTTCCCTTTATTAGTAAAATTGCAAAAGTTATTTACCTGATTTTTGATCTATATTAAGCACTAAGGGCTTTTATATCACCTTGATAGCAATTTACGTACCTTCCAAATAGTGTATTTTACTATAAAGTCAAATTCCAAAAGGACCAATCCTGAAGAAGATTGTTTATTACATGTCAGAAGAATAGCTCAATTAGATAATATTGTTCCTATACTTTTTAAAACCATCTCATTTCTCTACTTTTTAAAACCATCTCTTTTCTGTTGATTGCTGCATTCGTTATTGTTTTTAAAACATATCAATTGAAACAGACAAAAATATTTATTCACGAGGGCCACATAGACCTCACCATTCATTGAAAAAAATTAAGTTTTTCTATTTTGTCTTGCAGACAACTGGCTCATGAAATGCACGTGGCATGGCTAGAACATTGGGAATTTCTGGATGCATTTGTCGATTTCTCTACGGAAAAAGGAATCGGAATCTTAGAAGAATATCTGTTGAAACAACAATCTTTAGTTGTTTACAAACAATGGGTGAAAACACACTCGACACAGATAAACAATGTCTGCCTTGATTCCAGCATTGCCTCGGAATGTTCCCAGCTGACCAGCTTCACTGAAAATGATTCCATTAACTCTGTAGACTCTGAGATATCTCCTATTCGCAATAATCTCTTCCGCCATAATAAAATCGATAGAGGAATTGTTAAAGACTTTGACAATAGTGACAATGAGATCTCTGAAATTTTTGCGAAAGGAGAGCGAGATTGTGCATCTGATTCCAGTGATACTTCTGAAAAATATCGTAACGAGAAAATGGATATTTCTGAAAACCGCGACATTCATACGGATAAAGTTGGCCAATCAGATTCCAGTTCAAAATATGTTTTGCAACCAGCTAAATTAAAATGTGGAATAAATGCTCCTGATACTGCATTTAAAATAAATCTTGGGAAATCAAAGACTTCTGAAAATATGGAACCAATTTCAAACAATTTAACTGATGAAATCAAATTAGTGACACCTTGCCGAGAACCCTGTGAATACGATTTTAAATATTCACCAAAAACAGACAAACACACTTCATCACCCAATCATGTGATAGAAAAATCATCCAATGAAAATGTCGCTGACCAATCAGAACAGTCAACTCCATCATGGCGAGATGAACGAATCAAAAGTGGGGATTCGGAGGAATCTAACCAAGAAAATTACGAATCGCCATTAAAGGAACTAGATCAAAGTATTCATACGCCAGGGAAAGGTAATGAGAATTTAGATGACAGTGTGTTAAAAGGTTTTCAAAAATTACAATTGGGAAGCAGTGATGAGGATTCTTTTCAGTCTGCCGTGTCGGACGTGTTTTCAACACCAAACAATCGCCCAAATTTAGAAATGTCATTCAATAGTCAATTAAGCAATCTTTGTGACGATTTAAAACAGAAGTTGATTTTCACTCCACGGAACCGTTTGTCTCGAACTGTATCAGTCGTGTCATCTCTCTCCGACACGCAGGAAGCAATCATTTTAAAAACAAAACGCTCCAATTTCACTTTTGAGCAGATAAAAATTTTATCGAACTTTAACCCGAGTGTGACGAATCCAGTTCCAGTTTTATTAATCATAAAAAATTCGGGAGAAAACCAGGAAATTTCTGAGTGTGATATTTTAACTGATTGTATGATATATGACCTAGACCAGGAATCACAGTGCCTGTGTATATCTCAAGTTCGGAATAATTTAGTGATATCGGTGCCCACCCTAGAACAGAAGGATAAACTGTTATCATATAAGACATCTGCGTTGATATTAAGTTTATGCTTATACAAAGATGATATACCTACATGTATTGAACTATCTGTACCTTCTTTATTTACTAAAATAGACCCTAAAGACCCTTATTATATTCTTGGGTAAGTAAAGCTTGTCAAAGTTATTTAAAGGGATTGTAAAAAGGTTTTCTAAAATTTATATGTTTATCGGGGACACTTATAGCATCAATTTGCACCATTCAAATTTTCAATCTGACGTCTGTGGCTTCTGCAATTTTCTAAAACTAAGTTTGTTATCGTAAAATATGCTTTATCACATAAGAACTTCTTGTTTGCTGATGTCATAAAACGTGTTAGTTTTAGTGGAATTGCAGGAGCCACAAGACGTCTGATTGAAAATTGGAATGGTGCAAATTGATGATATCAGTGTCCCTGATACACATATAAATTTCAGAAAACCTCTTTACAATCTCTTTAAGAATTTACATTTTCACTATCAAAGAATAACAATAAAAAGCAGTGTATATGGTTATTTTAGGAAGATATTTGTCCACTTTCAGATCTGATTCATATTTAAGCAGTTCATTCTGTTGATTTGAATTGTTGTATTTGGTTTTTTTTTCAGGCAGAGAGCCAGTAAATTAGACCAAGATGTATACAGAGCATTAGTAGCAGACGACACTGACATGAGTTGTTTCCCCTTGACTGAAAAATGGAGGAAAAATATTACCAATCTTCAAGCTGAGAGTCAACAAAGGTAGGAATTTGGCTTATTAATAAAGATCCACCCTTTACCATTGGCCTTGATCTTTAAGGCATCTTAATCCAGACTGGCATGAAGTAGGACATAAAACTCCAGGCTGGCATGCTACTTCTTGTTATTTAAAAGGGACATATGTGCCATTTTGGGGGGTTGATTTGAGTCTTGAATATGTAAATAGTCTTCAGAAGTATTAGATATGTTTGAAAATGACATATTTACTTCAAATATTCTTGTTTCTGAGACTAAACTATGATTGTCCAAAAAAAATGGCGGATCTGTCTCTTTGATGCATGTTTTTGTACCTTTCTGGTTTATGAAAACCAATATGTGGTTCTAAACTTGATTAGACTATGCTGTTACAACAACCACTTGGTTTTAACAGTAATGACTCAATTTGATCTTTTCGAATTACAGTAACCCATTGTTGAATCAAAATGGTGCAGAAGTAAATAGTTTTTGAGCTACAACAAAGTGAATTTAAGACCATAATAGTCATTTTGTTTCTCATTATCAAAATTTATTCAAATTTGCTTGATTTTCTACTTACAGTTGGCCCAGTCCATCGAGAATCAAAAGAGAAAGCAGAATGTCAGGAGAGTTTCCTATGATGAGTCCATTGGTTGGTCATAGTTTCAGTACCCCCTCAGTGCCGCGTTATGCCTCACCTTTCCCAGGTTCAAGGACATCTCTCTCACCGTCAGTCTTTCAGTTCACTCCCAAAACATCTCGACTGACTTCCTCACCCCATCCTCCACAGTTCAATCTGGAGAAACATCTAGAAGAGTCTAACATAGAAGATTGAAAGATCTAGGAAAGATTGATCCAGTCTTTTTAAGGAAAGAAAAATCTTGTCTTATTGAGTAAAAGATTGCTCCAATCTAATTTATGAAAAGTTTGACCCAATCTTACTGAGTAAAAGATTGCTCAAATCTAATTTATGGAAATTTTGATCCAATCTTACTGAGTAAAAGATTGCTCCAATCTAATTTATGGAAATTTTGATCCAGTCTCACTGAGTAAAAGATTGCTCCAATCTAATTTATGGAAATTTTGATCCAGTCTCACTGAGTAAAAGATTGCTCCAATCTAATTTATGGAAATTTTGATCCAATCTTACTGAGTAAAATATTGCTCCAATCAAATTTATGAAAAGTTTGATCCAATCTTACTGAGTAAAATATTGCTCCAATCAAATTTATGAAAAGTTTGATCCAATCTTACTGAGTAAAAGATTGCTCCAATCAAATTTATGAAAAGTTTGATCCAATCTTACTGAGTAAAATATTGCTCCAATCAAATTTATGAAAAGTTAGATCCTATCTTACTGAGTAAAATATTGCTCCAATCAAATTTATGAAAAGTTTGATCCAATCTTACTGAGTAAAATATTGCTCCAATCAAATTTATGAAAAGTTTGATCCAATCTTACTGAGTAAAATATTGCTCCAATCTAATTTATGGAAAGTTTGAATCAATGGGGCAACTGTCGAGTCCTTATTTAAAACGCGGCAACTCTGTTGGGGCATCATAATTGCAAGATCTTCTCTCAAGAAAATTTTCGAAAAAATTAATTGATTTGGTTCATTCTGACACATATTTTGGGGCAAAAACGTATACAAATCATATTTTTAAAAAATAAATTGGCAGTACTATTAGGGGTGCAAACTTTTTTGTACTACTAGCGCCGCCACTGACCCAGAAGCACTGAATTCAGAATTTTTCTTAACTTGAAGACGACAATGCTACCACAACAAATTGAGTTTTACCAAGGACAGGATTAAATGTTATATTATATTTGTTGATTGTAATTGTAAAAATTTTGTTGTGTATAACATATAATCTACATTGTAATAAACTTATTGTTATATTAGTGTATTTGTTGCTTTTTACCAGGGATGTTAATTTGGTTGTATTTGCCAGTCCTGTCTCCAAAATGTCCTCTCTTTGTGATATAGATGTTGAGGACATGTTTTTATTTCATAACGAGCTTGCGCAACACTTTTAAGCAGAAAATGAAAACAGTTACGCACTGCGTCAGAACCACGCAAAGCCTATGGATCTCGTTTTTTTTTCAATTTCGGACCACCTTACGTTTTACCAACCGCATGTCCAGTGGACGTATCTACCCGCGTCTTACTAGGCTCACATTTTTCTTTTGGGATGAATCTTATTGCAAGCCTAGAAACTTTAGGTCCGATACTGTGAAATTATGTGTTCGAGATGACCGCATTGTTTCTCCACTATGGTCAAAATACTACAAACCCCGTCTTATCTACTTTTGTGAAAATGAAGCCCCCATATCATAGCCTCAGGGAGGGGTAAGTAGGCGTGGTGAAAACAATAGTTGGTGAACGATACAAAGCAAATTGCCCGTATCACATCATTCGATCTCATTACGCGACAGTGTTTTATTGGTTTGCACTCATCAGGATAACTTCTTCATATAAAGTTTACAGATACAGTTTCATTAGCATACAATATACGCCCATAGGGAATTCTCATTGTCACTTTTCTTATAAGTCTTCACTGTCCCTTCGACCAATCATACCTTAGTTTTAAAAACAGGAATTCTTTAGCTTACATAATCAGTAATAGTGTACACAGCTCATCGTCAAAGTTTGAGCCCACAAATCCATGTGTATCCGTAATTATTCACGTTTGAAAGTTAAAAATGCGACTCGAATTTTAGTGAGACTATGCCATATATAGAAAACACATATATATGTATAGGAATAGACAGTGAAATTTCTAGTTTGAGGTATATTTGAAGAGATTATGCGATTTTCGTGCGTTTTGGGACTTCTTAAGACTATTAAAGCACAATAAAGACCCAAATTGATCCCCGGAAATGCGGACTGTTTCCCCTTTAACTTTTTGTGCTCTTGATAATTAGAAGAAATAAGGTCCTACTAATCACATCATTCATCGCATTTACTACTATTTTATGGGTTTACAGTTACCGGGAGATCTATTTCATGTATGTACGTTACAAAGATACAATTCCACGTTGTTTTTGTTTTGTTTTTTTTGGGTTTTTTTTTTTGTTGCTCCCTGCCTATTTTTGAGCTCTTGGTAATGTTTTTTGTTTCGTCTAAATTTTCTGTTAGCTACCACAAAGTTACTCTATTTTGTATCGTAAGTCCAGTCTGACATACTTAAGAACTTCTTGTTATCAACAGAACCCAACGACAAAGTGCTATTTCCAATTCACGACATTATACCCTCCATAGCACCACCGCATTTGTTTTATTATATTGTTTTCAGTTTTACAAAATGTAATTACTGTGATAATTGCGTTGGCTGAAACTTTTCTGGACATTTGACCTGTACTAAGCAGAGATTTCGTGGACTTTTTTCACCCCAAGGGCGGAATCACCAATCCCCACCCTCGCTTCTGCTGCCAAGTCAATATGATATTCAGTTTGAAAATTATCAATGATGAAATCGAAATGTTAAAAACCACTGGAATTATTTAATAGATCAAGCGTATCAACCTAAAGCAGTTGTTCCCGAACTTTCTCAGCCTTCACACCCCATGGAGCAATCACCTGGACCTTTCACACCCCAAAAATTTGTTTCATCTACATTTTAAGCATGTGTTGATGTGAAGTAGTCTCTCAACTAAAAATAAATGTTTTCTTACACCAGTTGGCCACACCTCTGACACCGTAGTCCCATACCCCCAAGGGGTGCAAACACCCCAATTTGGGAACCAGGGATCTAAAGTAAACTGCAGTTGATAAATTACGAACTCGACTGCCCTCTTCTTAATTTTCCCTATTTACCTCTCTGCACCGAAATTTGACACCTTTCGCTTTCTCAAATTTTAATACAAATTCAAACCCCTTTTGGACAGTATTTTGATAGCTTTTTAATCTTAAAGTTAGAAATAATAAAATTGGTTTTAATCGGTTGATTTGGACATTTATAGCTGTCTTAAAAACCATGGTAATAATTCGCGACAGGCCAAAATAACTAGGCAGTGACAAATTTATGGGGAAAAAATTGAAGAAAATTGAAAGGAGTGATCAAATTTCGACAGGTCCTGTCTGAGGATTGGACATATGGCATTTTGAATGTTTTCATCCGAATTCTTTATAAGTCCCAATTTTCACTGATTTTTATTCATTTTGGGATCTCTGACAGTTAGTGACCCAGGGAACAATTTCTGTCAAAATGAAGGTAAGCTTTTTTTTTTAGTTTTGAATGAAGATTCTCTAGAAATTTTAATACGATACAACTTTGAGAATCCTAAGTATTTCTTTAAATACAACGTGAACCCATGTGACTTTTTCTTGCACACAATTAATTGTGTTCATTGTAAAATCAGTACGCGAATTCTTGATTTGCCAAAATGTCGAAGGCTTCAAAACTAAAAGGGACGATAGATCGACGTTTTCAATTAGATATACTTATTTGGTCAAATTGCATACAATTAAGGTGAAGTAGGACGTAAAACTCCATTCATTTCATTTAATTTACAATTAAGGTGGAAATAAAAACAAACTTGTTCAGAATGAGTTTGGTAACACGTTGGTAAAGGTTTAAGCAATTAATTTGACGAAATTAGTTTGTTTCGTATGATTACAGACAATTGTAAGAAATTGGAGAGCAACACTCGTATGTACGCTTTCAGTACTACAGTGCAGGTTTAAAGAGGGATTCCCTTATTTTCATAAATGAAAATGTTAATACTAATATGAATAGAAAGCAGAGGTGTTCTAATGACTTGGAAAAAGTCCAGTTTGTCTCACATGTCCATAATTAATTCATAATTAGCTTAATAAGAAGAGAATTACCAACAGAATTCCAGTGAGTGACCGATCAAGAAAGGTCAAAAAGTCTCTATTTTTTGTTTAACCAGACTAAACATACATGGACATGCATTTAGAACATAATGATATGATTAAGAATACATGATAATTAATTAGAAATACGAATTAATCAAATAATTCATTTGACACGTAACGATAAGGAAAACCATCTTAAAATAAATCTGTAGAAGTATGTATAATGAAATTGGGTGTGGCACCAGGCAGGCTTTTTTTGATACGATCAGGAAGCTGTATCCTTCTCTATTCGCACTATTGACTGGTCAGTCGCTGTAGAATGGAAGATATTTTGAAATATTTAACTGTCATGGTTCGATAAATTTTCAAAGCGAACAACGAACCACGTTTCTTATTAATAATGTACAGTGTAAGCCAACATACATTGCGATAAAAATAAAAAATTGACAGTATGGCGAAATCGAACAAAAGTTGCGACACGCCCTAGTTTAGGACGTGCATGAGAAGAAATGCAATTTTTGTAGATATGTTACATAATTGTTTTCATAGTTCACCAGATTACATCAATATGTAGCAAGTATTACGCAAGTGAAGATAAGAAGACCTCAACCGGACCAAAAACATAATTTTTATCTGTTTTCCTGCACTCATTATGTAACCGGGTTAGCTATTGGCTAATGAATTTTTCTCTCTTTTTAGGTCCTTCTTTGTCTCGCAGCTGTAGTAAGCTTCGCCTCGGCCATGTTTGCTCCACAAATAAACGGATTCTCCGATTTCAGTGATCCAGCAAAGTTCGACAATGGTTTCAACGGTGGCATTGGCGAAGGGAAAACTTTTGATGTCAATGATATGCACAATTTCCCCGACTTCAGTCATGGGTTTGGAAATTTCGACGATAGCAAAGGAACGCCGGATCAGCACGTCTTCAATGCCCCCAATAAAAATCTAAATAACAATGCTGAACAAAATTTCGATGATCAACATCTCAACAACTTTTTATCTAAAGGTGACGCTGGTATTCCAGGGGGTTTCCGTGGAGCTGATCACAACAATGGTTTCATCAATGACACCGTTTTGGTAGCTGGAACTGCAGCTGCTCCCACAGTTGGAAGTGGAGGAGGAGTAGGAAGTGTGACAGCTGATCAACAAAATGGTCTCGCCAATCGTCCTCCAGGTTGCAACCCTGATCACGAAAGTGGTTTCGTCACCGACACAATTACCGCAGCCGGAAGTGTTGCAGCCAATCAAGGTAACGTAGCCGACTCTACCAATAAACAAAACGTTGGGAGTGGCAGGCATAACCATATTTCGCATGACGTTACCAATGATATCCACAATGGTATTCACTTCAAACAACGAAATGGTGTTTACCAGCCAAACAATCAATTTGCTCCAGAACAAGAATTTCACGGAAACTCCTTTGATAAGACCCATGCTGATCATGACTCAAATATTAACCTTCCGTCTGTAGAGGATCTACATAAACACATCCCAACTCCAGTTGTCTTTAAACCGACCATTGCTCCATTTGTTCACCCAGATGGACCTGTTGGAGGACCAGTTACTGTTTCTGATATCCAATTTGATCATCCAGATCCACCAAAGAAATTCACTCATGATGGATTCCCATCATTTAACGGACGACAATCCAAATTTTCCAGAGCCAATGATATTCCCGGATTCTTCTCGGATCCTTTTGGTAGTGTTGGTGGTTCTAGTGGACACAGAAAGGGGCTAAATAGTCAGTCCTGTCCAACAATCAACAACCCAGCTGCTCCGTATGTTTTGAGCTCAACTGCATCTGACTACCCACGGTAAGCTTCGAAGATGTTCTTCTTTCTCCTTTATTCATAGAGGGTGCAAGCTATTTGTTCAATGAATAGTCAATTTCGCCTTCTGATATTTCTTCACATGAGGTGTCCAGTAACTAATTTCACAAATAGGAGACGAGTCAGCAAGTTACGTGTTTTGGTTTTTAAAGCCAAGTATTACCAAGTTACTGAAGATTATTATTTTTTCATCAAATTTAAAAAAAAAATTGTCAATTGACGGGTTTCACTATGTTTAATTTTCAGAGAAGATATTAACGCTGAATTAGCTAGAAGACCCGGGTTAAGATCTATGGTTGCAAATAACGGGCAGCAGAAACCTTCTCTTGATGTTGTGTAAGTATCCGTCGTTGCTTGTCACCTTTGCAATGGGTCCAGAGCTACTACCAGCGACGAACTACTGTGCCTGGGAAAGGAGATGTTCTTCCAAATATTACCCAAAACGTAATCAACAACGGTGGATCAATATTTAAGATGTAACCAGTAAAGGTCTATTTGTAGATTTCCAGGGTTTCATCAATCAAGAAAGGGCTAATCGGCAACAATCCGTGTATTTTTGTGACACAAGAAACCACGGCATTGGCAATTTATGATGTATTAGAATTTGCAAAGACCGCTGTTTTGACAATTTGGTTCAAAAAATATACATATCGACATCTGACAAATATAAGAACTTTAGTCATACAAGAAGCCGTATTAAGATCATTTTCCTTTAGCATTTTTTGCGACGTTTATCACATTTAATGCAGAGAATACGGAGTTGTAGAAGCCACGGTTGGATGTGATAAACGTCGTACTAGAAAGTCGTTGCTAAAGGAACATAGATCCGGTTAAATAAAAAAAAGTTCCTAATGATTTCAGTGATGGTACAGCCAGCTGTGTGTCCAGTCAAAATTCTTTAAGAAAATTCAGAAGATATAATGGTGCATGCTACGTCTTGGATGGTGAAGCAGTTGACATGGTCGATTGCCAGTAAGTGTTAAATTCATTTCAATGATTTGAGGACATTTCTAATTGTACTTGTTGGGTGGTGGTAAGTTAAAGAAAAAAGCCCATAGCCAGACTTGATTGTTCGGAGAGATACGTAATATATCCGAAGGGACAAAGGTGTATAGTGTGTATTGGCAGTAATGGAATCGGTCGGTTATCAGAAATTTTTCAGGGTGGCAATCCATTTTTTCGGGGAGCCTGTTCCTACAGGCCTGCCAATCGAAGTATCGAATTGAAAAGCGTAATGGTGACATAGAGTGTTATCGAAGCATAGATTAGACCTGCTTCACTAGCTTAACCCTTCATTGTTACAAAGTTAGTAGGTGTGCCTCTTTCCTCGGATCAGTGAGTTAGACGCTTGTTGCCTATCCTTTAGGTCCAAGCTTCAATCTCGGATTTTCCAACCCGATTTCCCCGTGTCAGTGATGCAGGTAAGATTGAAAAAGACTAGTCGATCGAGTGGGACAATAACCGAGACCCCGTGTGCTACAGGCTTTGCACGTTAAAGATCCATTGAGAGTTAGACATCGAAAAGGTGTAGGCTGATGCCGCTGTCCTGGCAAAATTTTCCTCATTGCACCCTGCATTGTGCAGAAAAGCCTGTAAATGTCATGAGCACAATCTGAAGATAAAAGCATCTTTTTATTTTATTTTTCAGATCCGCCAACTGTAACCAATGTAATACAAGTGGTGCCCAATCTAATATTCAAGGATTATGCGTGCCTCAGTACCAGAACATCAATGTCATGGCTTACTGTGTGAACGCTCCAGATGCTAACAACAAAATTAATCGAGAACTGGTTCCAGTTCCAAGTTTTTGTGGATGTAGAATGGTTCAATGTTAAGAAAGTTTTTGGTGGTGTATGTCTCCTTAATAGAAATTAGATTGTCGTAAAATTTGCTGCGAAAGTTTTCTACATTGCACACAAAGGCAGACTTATTAGATATGGCTATTGTATTATTAGTGGAACATCCGCTCGCTCAGGGACACTTTCTGTTTTCGTGGCACATATTGAGTTCCAATTTCTATAGAAAATTGAAAAATAGAAATAGCCTTTCTTGCTATTTCTACTTAAAATCTTTTCAAATCTGATTTAAACAATTTATTGTGAAAATTCAGAATTCTATGTCAAACATAATATCTCTGGAAAACTTTTGTAGTAAATCTTATAGTAATTTAACAAAGAGAGAATTTGGATGAAAGTTTGGTGTAACCATTATATAACTCTATATCGCTTATGTTCTATTAAACTGTATTATTATATCACTGCTTGTAATTCATGTCCAAGACCAAGGTCCCTTTTATGAGGAAATTCGATTATTTATATCATGGTTTGCAAAGGCTACCTTTTGAAAAGGAGGGATGGGTCGGGTAAGGAAATATATCTTTAATCTTCAGATATAGGACTTATATGGTCTCGCAACCATCAAAGACAATGGGTGGGTCCTTGTGCCTTTTTGATACAGGTAATTACCTGTATTTCCCCAGCTATCAACGCATATGAGGAGTACCTCCTTGGATTTTTTATTTTTTGGGAAGGGAGGGGGTGATTTCCCCAATCATCAAGCGTCTGTGCTATTTTTCACATCCACGTGTATCCGAATTATCTGTGTTAGAAAGTAAAAATGACGACTGGTCTTTTCTTGAAACTACATAGAAATTGAGAGTGAAATATATTTTAAGGGATTTTCGTGCGGTTCTGGTACTTCTAGTTCTAAAGGCTATTTACAATATATTCAACACCCAAATCAACCCCCGAAAAACCGACTGTTACCGACTGGCAAATTTCAACTATTTTGACCAAACCAGTCAAAGTTCAATAGATCAAACCACATCTAACAGTTGTTTACCCAAAGCCAAGCCTATTAGACTATGGGTAGTCCTACACAATGATGCTAATCAAATCCCTCGCGTATTGGGTATTTTTATGGGGGCTTTAAAAAGGACATCAAGGGGATTTCAACAGATGAACGACTGCATAAATATGTGTTTTTGTAATCCTTGAGTGATTGCTCGTGATGTTTTCTCATAAAATTCATAACAAAGGTGAAATTTGCATATACTGATGATTTTTAATATTGAAGATCAAAACGGTCAACATGTTTAAAAAACATATTTTCCTAATCTTGAATAAGCCCCTTATTTACGCGTGATGAGTCCCTCATAAGCAAAAACTATATAAAAGGCAATATATTTGGCAGATGTTTTATTGCACTGGCTGTATACTGACTACTAAGGTATGTTTTTTCATCCATTTTGGTTTTATTTGGAATCTTTGTTGCATTTTTGTCTTAAGAATATTCCCCTTGGTACGCATATCAAGGACACCTTTAGCATATTTTGCACTTTGCATACTGTTGTCCAACATCCATTGTTCCTGCAATTGCAAAACAAGAGCTTATTTTGACGTCAGTATCGCAACTCTCCTTACTGCACACTGCAAGGCGTTGCTCGTCTTCATTAGTCAAATCAGATGCAGAAAAGTAAAACGTAAAACTCCATTGTATCTCAATTCATTTGCTTTCCAGATGCTGTTTATCGTATTATATTCCGTGGTCGTTGTTGCTCTTACTACAGCACAGAACAACTCGTACATAAATATTGTCAATGATGCAGCGAAACAAGTATCGTCCCACCACGCCACCCTCCACGGCCATATCAACACCGTCTTCAACAACCATCCGTTTTACAACACTGGCACCAAAACACCGTCATGTCCAAACCCAAATGATCCATCAGCTGTATTTGAATTGACCTCTACTCCAGAACTAGAAGCCAACTATCCCTTGTAAGTATCTTTCTTTCAACCATTCCTCCTTTGTACAGGCGTACGTAGGCATTGCTGTCCTGCTTTCTTTCGTTTTCACAATTGCACACTGCAGTGTATTATCAGTCTTCATTGCAAAATGGTTGCAGAGTAAATTAATCAGTTATAACTGACAGAATATTACACAATTGCACACAGTATTTCATTGCTAATCATCATTGACAATGTGTCTTTAAAGTTCATTATAGACAAGGTCGAATACTTTGTCAAATTCCTATTTACATTATGATATGTTATTTTTACAGAACATTGATCGCCAATGAACTGGCGACCAGATCACAGTTGGCCACTGTTCTGGCTTCTGAGATTCCCGCTCAATCTGGATTGAATCTGGAAATACCTGTTGATGAACCGTGAGTACTAACTGTAGGTCATAGTCCTCCATTTCCGGGGGTCAATCGTACCCTGGTCTCAAAAACGGGAACTGTTTGCTTGATAATGAAATGTATTGGACAATAACGAAACTTCTTATGGTTGGAGAAGCTAATTATTTTACAGCTTTATAGGTATACGTAAGAGCAGAGCCATTCGTATGGAAAAAGGTCATAAGTCCCAATCGAAAATTAACTCGTTAAACAACTCTTATGATTTATCCGAAAACGTACATTGTTATATACATTGGGGACTGTATTACCTTATATAAAATAGATTAACTTAAAGCTTCATTTGACTATTCTGCCTATTTCAGATTTGACACAGCTGAAACCAAGTGTGCTACAAAAACCAGCAACGTCTGGACATTTACTTCCGCTCAGAATCGTGGTGTCTGTTGGGTACTGCAAGGATTCCAGGATGCTGTCTTTGCTGTAAACTGTGTGTAAGTATGCCTGCTTTATTTCCACTTTATTTGGAGACGAACACTGGAATGCATTAAGATGAAGAACGATTTTATACGATTAAAATAATACCGTCAGATCATGGATTGAATTTGAAGTCACCGTCCGAAGAGACAGAAAACGAAACATCCATATTCACATTAAGTTTTGCTTTAGCCAATGAGCTGCTGAAGACACATCACATCTCAAACGGATTAGAGGATTGCTATATACAGAAAAAAGACCCCTGCTGGTTTGTGACAGTCCGTAACTGAGATCCCACATTCTTGTCGGTGTCACTGAGCTATAAATAGTCACAGAGGTGAACCTGAACTTTTGGTACTGAGACTCTTCATAATCCGACAATTTTATGTGGTCTCAATGCATGAAAGATACACAGTAGTACACTGTAGATAGATAAGGTTTCGTGAGCAGTTCTTATTTCGAAATTCTGATCTTACAGGAACCCCGTTTGTAAAGGATGTGATAGTCAGAAAAGTCAACTGAACAGCTTCACCTCATGGGAACAGAACTTCTGGGCGTCGTTCAACTTCCCAAACTTTCCCAAAGCAGATTCAGGATTTTATCAGACCCAATCAACATCATACAAGAATATCTGCGTACCAAGATTTGAGGTCCGCACCATCTGGGCATATTGTCCACTGATAGCTGATCCTTTGAAGATTGTTCGGGAGCAGATTATTCTGCCTTCGGCTTGTAGTTGTAAGAAGATCCGATGTCAATAGAAAAACATCAACCATTTTTAAATAGTTCATCATTGAGCTATTTGCGTTGTTTATGGTTAAAGGCCTTCATGGCTAAAACATTTTATATTGCGGTCCTGTTACTTTCTTATGTACACTTTAATACTATCTCAATTGTATCATTTGCAAAACTCTAATAAAACATTATGTAAGCCATAGTTAATTGATTTCAGTATTTGAGCAAAGTTTGGGTTGCGGAAAATGTGGAACGCCCTTGACAGGTTCGCATACAGCTAGGGGAAGACAAGTGCTAAACCGTTCAGGGGGATCTAAGGTAATGAATAGATTGGTAGATGCCATACAGAAACCAACAAAAACCATTTGCATTGCCAGTATGAAATACAACCATTTCTCGATACAATTGTTTGCTATGCCCAATAAATGAAACAGCATTCATATACAAAGATTTATTATAAAACACGATCAATGACTATACAAAGCTAACACCTAAACTAATGCGGAATGAGATTCAAAACTCGTAAATTCAGCTCTAGATATTTCTTTTAGAAAGGAATTGGCGCAACAAAATTTGAAAAATATTCAGTGCTTTAATTTGCCCAGATCTTGAAACTTGAAATTGGTCACCGAAAGGCAAAACATCGAAACGAAATAGAAATATCTAGAGTTGTGTTTTACTCAGATTGAAAATAAATAAAAAGGAAAAATGAAACCTGGATTGGGAAACCACATCACCACCCGCCATAGCTGACAGTGGTCTTGGTACATGGGGTTTGGACACAGGAACAGAATGAGGGCACAATGACTTGTTCCCGAATGATAGCTGGGAAACCAACTAAAGGACAATATGCCCATACCGAGATCGATTTATATTGTGGTATACATTTATATTTGAAGGTCACAGTTGAACCTACGTGAGTTGTGGTGGACGTAGAGTAGCTATTACTGCAACCAATACAATCTCCCAATCTGAAATGGAGATCATGAGTTTTTCTATATTCGATAAGCAATTCGACTGTTCGGTAGGTTAGTTTCTTTTACTTATTCGTTCATGTCCCATAGCGGAATTTGAAACACTACTTCCAAGCTTTGTGTTCAGATGATTTTACATATGAAGTCTTAACTGAACTAGAATACGAGCATGTTTATTGCTTATCTGATTTATACCATTGACGTTATTGAAGAATACTAAGACTTGATGCTTCGGCAATTATGAACATCCTGTATCAAAATTTGTACAAACCCTATAGAATGCGTACAAAGGGGGATGATTGAGAAGATAGTAATTTCAAAAACTATCATGTCTCTTCAGCATCTCCATTCTAACCCATGACCGGTATCTATACAATAGCCCTACCGAATAAATGTATTTCTGTGGGTGTTATTATAGTAAATTTATACTCACTGACAAGTAACTGTAAACAGAGGATCTTGGAAGCCCTGGAGAACCCAACATGGTCCACGTAATGCTGAGTTGAAGGAAAACACATTCTGTGCAACTCCGGGACATGTTCGATTGGCTGTGTCGAATCTGCAGTAAAAAAACAATTAAGTCAGTCCAAATTCTTTATGCATATCCAAACCCCCAAAAAATGAGTAGAAGAAGTAATAAAATATTTTTCACCCAAAATTGCGCAAATTTATTTAGATATAATTTATTGAACCCTAATATTTTGTTTCAATAAGTCGCCGAATAGTACATGGAAGCTTTAATATTAATATTTACTTACACTGGATCTGGGGGAACAACAATGGGTCCAGGAACTTCTTGAACTAAAAACTGACCAAACGCGGGCCGTTGATTGAGCTCATTAGTAATTGCTACACTAAAAAATAAAATTGCAAAGTGTTAATAAAATACCTTAAAGCTGCCATGTTCATGTAGGATAATAGTACTTTTACTTTAAGTACTTTTTTTTACTTTTTCCATTTGTCCCACCATACTTTATATTTTACACCAGAGAAAATTGAATGAAAACTTATGATTGGATGTTCATGAAAATGGATGCGGAAAATCGGGGAGTGATCAATACCAAGAGGTTGAGCCAAGGACCAGCTGGTATAAAGGATCCTCGTGAACCACAGTTGTTATCCTTGTAAATGTTGTTATTTCTTTCTTTACAATATATCGCTATCGCTAACGGTTCATAACAAAATCAATTACTAAGTATACTTACACTGGATATCCAGTACCATCAGTTCCAATGTTAAATAATAACGACGGATTGTTAGGTTCAGAACAGTTGACAGTGGAATGAAAGTTGGTACTTAAATCGGCAAAGTTACTGCTGAAATCATTGAACCAACTGTTGCTTAAACCGTAAAATGCTGAACGTTCTGGGGGCTGGGTAACATCGACACCAGCTTCGTTCGGTTGTTGTAAACTAGAACGATCGTTGGTCGTTGCTGAATCTTCTGTTGATTGACTAGATTCGGTTGGTTTTGGTAAAGTAACGCTAGCTGAGTTCTTAGGAGGGCTGGTTCCAGACCCAACTGCCAGTGGCTTGACATCTTTGAGTGATGTGGTTATGTCTAATGCCTTTGTTCCTAGTAGCAAGAGTACTGCCAACGAAATCTTTAAAACCTGAAATAAGAAATAGTACAATACAAAACTGTTTTAATCTTCAAGTTAAAAGATTACTATTCAGGTTATAGAAAATGTCAAGCATGGGTTTCTGCAAGTTTGAGTTTTCGTGTTAGTAAATTGATTGAGTGAAAAAGACAAAGATTCACAAACTGTTGATATTCTTCACGACTATTAAACGTTCAAACTCAAGTCTCTCAGTTCGACCATCAGACTACCAGAATCTTTGCACCGGCCGGCATCTGGAAGAACCTGATTAATCACTGGATTAAGTCGACCGGAGAGCACCGAGGATTGAACTATCGGAGTGGCCACCATTTGCAGTCAGTTGTCGTTATTCGCCCATGTTTTGCTTTGAAAATGTAAAACGGTGTTAACTGATACGAGATAATTTGAGTCAACAGTTGCCACGGACCGATTTTCAACGGGTTTTAGAATTGTCCGGTATCTCATGTCCGTGAAATAATCGCAATTATAACTCATTGTCACTAAGATACGACTTCTAAAAAAGCATGATGTTGGAGAAACTTAAACTTCTTACCTTTCGTGTCATAGTGCCTATCCTAGTTGCTATACCAAATCAAATGAAATTGAATTCGCTTATATACAAAATTTTGGCTATTGTTTGCCATATTTTTAGTTTGAACTCGATTTCACTAATTCATTTAACTAATAAATATTTGGGTTTAAATTGGAAACTAATCCGCGAAGCAAATTACTTGTAGATAAAAAATAACTTAATGTATATGAAAACATATTAGGATAATCCGGGTAATTGTTAAATATTTGATTTTCCACGTTGAAACTAAATCCATTTCTTCAATTTGCATTTAAATCACCGGAAAGCTGGCTATAATTTAACTGTGCATAAAATCTCTCAAAATCTTAATAGATAATTGACCTATAGTATAGCGTCAACATGCCATCCGCCAATTGGTCGTGAGAAAATATATTTTCAGATTTTGACTTTGTGACTTTAATTTTGCCAATGCTTGAACAACATGATACCTTTTTCAATATTTGTTGCGTCATCTCAGTAATAAGTGATTAACATCTGACAAAAGCATAGAGCTGAGGTCACTATCTTCTTGTGGGGGCTACTTGCGTCATTTTGTTGTCATAGTTAACAATCCTTTTAATTATCTACGCTGCGCAAAAAAAAAAAAATAAAAAAAAATTGAAAACCATTCCCAACAATTACGATCTCTCTGTTTTGAATTTTCGACAATTTGGGTTTGTGTTAATTCGGGGTTTTAAAAATTAAAGCGAGATGTTTTGCGATCCATGCTGAAGACGTTTGTGTAAAGTTATTAAAAATAACAGTTTCAAGCATATAGTTGATACAAAAAATAAGGATGCAAATGCATAATTCATCAAAACAACCTTATGACGCTAAAAAATGTATATTTTAAAAAGTTTTCCCATTTTAAGTAATTCGCGTTGATTGCTATCGAGAAACCATCTCAAAGTATTTTATCATGATCAGAATGATTTTTAGTCAATTTTTATTTCAGTACGTGACAGGGTTCTCAGGGCTTTGGCTTTGCAAGATTAGATGACTGAAAAGTGGGGTGTAAAGCTCCATTCCATTCCATTTTCATATGTCAAATTTCAACTCACTAAGATTTAATCTAATAATCTATATATAGTTTAATCTATATTTTAACGAATAGAACAAATAGTTCACCACTCACTGAGCTTTCAACCACTTTTCATTCAGCCATCAACTTCGATACAGTTTGTAAACGTTGATTGTTTAATGACGCCACTTTACACATGTAATTGAAATGAAATGGAGTTATATATCCTAATTTTCTTCACATTATTGGGCAAAAAAAAAACAAGGCAACGACTGTGAGCAATGGAGGATTTCCTCAGGTTGAAACATAGTTGACCAATAACAATAACAGAGTGGTACACCCAGCCACACTGCGACAAACGACACAGTACTCATTTCAAATTCGAATTCCAATTTTTGTACTTAAACTCAAGAGTCGAATAATAGACAAGTCATAAAAATCGAACCTTAAAAACTAAAAAGCTCAATATGAGCATCGAAATGACGGTTATAAAATACGTATACCAAGTAAACATAATAAGCATTTTAAGATGCCGAGTTCACAAAGTTTGTTCTGTAATACCACTGTGCCTACCTTAAATACTAAAAAATCATAATTACCTTAGTATCTCACATATTATAAAAAAAATATCTTGCATTTTCATCCAAGAACAAATCATACAACTACATCAGAGAGAAGGCAGAGAGCAACAAAATTATAAAGGTGTTTGGAAATTCAATACTGCGTCATTTTATCTAATATTACCATTAAATATCACTAGATGCAATGGAGCATTGTAAACATTTGCAAATCAATCTAATATTATTACAGACCCCTGCCTAGTTTCACAACATTTAGCATGTTTCTCAAAATAAAGATTACAATCCCGACTGATAAAAACAATAAAACAACCAAGTAAACAAATTTATTTGTTTGTTTCTAATCGGTAATGTTTAGTAAACAAATCCCTCTCTTATGCAAATGTAGGTAAATATATTATTTTTGCTGTTTTATATTTATTGTTTTTAAAAATTGGTAAAAGAGATTTTGGTATTTCCGTTTTGATTTGGTATAAAAGTTCCTCTCCGACTGACACAACTCATTCAATCATTGTGATCGATCCTGAGCTGTTTCAACCTTCAAAGACAGTTTCTTCAAGTACTTGTACGTATTTCTATTTTTTTGACTTATTTCATTAATTATGGGTTTTTGGCTCAACATCAGTTTTGACTTGTTGGTCTGATGTACTGGAAGCGACACCAAAAAAGTCATTAAAGTGGTACTGCGTTTTATAATTTTGAAACCATTGAGCCGCCAATCCTGGGGTAAACTGCAACTTGTATGACGCTTAATCAAATATCTCTACATGTTATACCATTCAAGTTGGTGGAATTTTGATCAAATTGAAATAGAATATCGACTCCATGGAAGAAGATTGGATTTGTGCCGTAAGTTGCAGTCTAAAATTTAGTATTTAATCAAAATTCAATCTTTCTTTTCAGAAAATGAACGCCTTAAATCTTGTAGTAGTTTTAATAGTTCTATACCAAACCCAGTATTCATCAGCCAAAGATATAACAACTTCGCTTGGTGGATCCAAACCTGTTGCCAATTCCGGAACACCCAATGCTGCAGCAAAATTAGACGGCTCCAGTCGCAGTGGTCTCGGATTTGATACGGCGTTCTTTAACAATTTCAACTCCTTACACGGCGGTGGACTCAACACTGGATACAGTACCTTTGGTGCACAATGTCCCATGCAGACTGATATTTTAGACAATTTAAGATTATCAGATGATCCCGAAGGATATCCTGTGTAAGTTGCCTTTCCCAATATTTTCAAGAATTGCGCATTTTTGTCAATTGTGCCTGTGGATCAATACACTAAAACTGTTTTCGCGAGGACTCGATTAGTACTTTTTTTTCTTTGATTACAGAACCCATCTTGTTTTGAAAAGTGATTACTTTTTTATGAGCAAGAAAACTCGCTCATGCTTTCAGATTGATCTTTGATCATCTGATTCAAAGCAGTCTACTTCGATTCTAATCACTAATGTCTTATTTTAATTCTATCACACCTTTACCTTTTTTTTTCTTTTCATTATTTTTTTTTCATTTAATTTCAGCGATGCCATTGCTGCAGAACTGGCGCTACGTCCCCAATTTGCTGCCTTTTTAGTTGATCAAGCAGTTTTGCCCGGAACTGATCCTACCATTCCCGAAGACCCAAGGTGAGTTTGGATGATATAGATCCTTTTCATGGTAGCTTGGCAGGAGCTTATCCGTTGCTGTCAACATGGATATGCTTCGGATATTCAGATCATTTTGGAAGTAACCGGATGCCACAGAACAGGGCAACAGGGGCTCTTTACGAGAGTGAAGATTCCAAATTTGTTTATCAGGGACACAAGTATAAAATGCCACATTCTAAATATCAAAATTACATCGAATGATGTGCCAAAAATCACCGACTTAAATACATATGAATCAATTTTTTCTTCAGATTTTTAACAGCCAATATGACCTGTCCTTTCATCCGCAAACAATTATGGAGCTTCTTCAAGAATAGTAGCAGCATCTGTTGGGTTCTCCAGAATTTCCAGGCACAGATACTCTATGCCGATTGTCTGTAAGTCTACCTACATTTATTTCATATTTAAATCTAACTGCTCAGAGGCTAATGTTAAAGGTCTTGAATTTATTTTGATTGACTTCAAATGAGACTTTCAAAATCCATCTGATGTTCTGGGTCATGTAATATTCACCCGACTGAATATCCCATTCAATAAAGACTTTTTTACTCTATGTAAATGATTTGTATTGTCGGCCAATGTTCGTGTTTTTTAGTAAACGAGATCTAAAGATTGACAATTTGATGCAATTGACGACATTATAATTTGACAGAACTCTATGTGCTCTAAATTTGGAAGATTAACTGACGTGTAATCCTTGAATCTTTTGTTTTTCAGCTTCAAGACCTGTCAATTCTGTTCTAATCCATTTGGTTTCAACACCGAGAACCAATGTTTGAAGCAGTACGAGACCGTCTCAGCCTACGTGTTCTGTCCTAGCATCGGGTTCCCTCGAATCATCAGTGAACGCTTCATCATCCCCAGATACTGTACCTGCAAGGTCGTCAACTGTCAAACCCAGACACTGCACCATCCCGGTATTGGTGGATACGGTGGTTTCGGTACCTTTGGAAAGAAATAAGCGTTTCTTCCACTATATATTTTATTTATTTTAATATATTTTATCTAGGTTAGGTTTTATGTTATCTTTATTGTATTTGTATACGCTATGTCCTTTGCAACTTAGAACTAGACGATTCGTTAAATATTCCCAGTTTTTTAAAGAAAAAACATTCGTGTGATTATGAATTACATAAATAGGTATACTTATCGTATCTTTCTGTGTGTTTAAACTAGTTGTTGGTAAATGATTGTCTTATATCTCTATTCAATTCTATTTCAATATTTATGATATTAAATCAATATTCATAATAATTCGGCTTTTTCAAAGAGATCATGGGTGAAGCTTGGGGCAAAGACAAACCTCAAACCTTTATACAACCAGAACGGATTTATCCCTCACACCCACTACCTAGCAATATGAAAGGGTTTTAGTAATGGGCTGTATACTTTATGCACAAGACCAAAGACACTACAAAATTATAATTTTATGCCCTTTATTCCCAAAACTGATTTGACTGCTGATTTATTTATTTCTTAAAATCATGACAAACAGATCATTGCTAAATTAAGACACTAAGCTCTATGTATAGTGTCGTGACCTACACCAATATCTGAGACTAGATCAGCACCGTTATGTACCACTCCGTGTCTTACAGCTCCAGTTTTAAATAATGGACCTCCTATCTTAGCTTCATGTATTCCTATTCCATTACCAAAGCCTTGATTAATACCACCAAAACCATGTCCAATACCAGTACTAGTATGTCCTATGCTGGAACCAATGCCAGTGTCTAAACCATTTCCAATTCTACTACCAACACCATGTCCAATACTAGTGCTGGGACCAATACCAGAACCAACACCGTGTCCAATGCCAGAAGCAACACCGTGTCCACCAATACCAGTACCAACACCATGTCCAATACCAGGACCAACTCCATGTCCAATGCTGGAACCAATACCAGAATCACCACCGTGTCCACCAATACCAGAACCAACACCATGTCCAATACTGGAACCAATACCATGTCCAATACCAGTACCAACACCATGTCCACCAATACCAGAACCAATTCCATGTCCAATGCTGGAACCAACACCATGTCCAATGCTGGAACCAACAACATGTCCACCAATACCAGAACCAACACCATGTCCGATACCAGTACCAACATCATGTCCAATACTGGAACCAATACCATGTCCAATACCAGTACCAACACCATGTCCACTAATACCAGAACCAACACCATGTCCACTAATACCAGTACCAACACCATGTCCAATACCAGTACCAACACCATGTCCACTAATACCAGAACCAACACCATGTCCACTAATACCAGAACCAATTCCATGTCCTCTAATACCAGAACCCACACCACGTCCACTAATACCAGAACCCATTCCATGCCCAATACCAGTACCAACACCATGCCCAATGCTGGAACCAATACCAGAACCAACACCATGTCCAATACCATGTCCTATGCTGGAACCAATACCAGTGCCAACACCATGTCCACTAATACCAGTACCAACACCATGTCCACTAATACCAGTACCAACACCATGTCCACTAATACCAGTACCAACACCATGTCCACCAATACCAGTACCAACACCATGTCCACCAATACCAGTACCAACACCATGTCCACTAATACCAGTACCAACACCATGTCCACTAATACCAGTACCAACACCATGTCCACTAATACCAGTACCAACACCATGTCCACTAATACCAGTACCCATTCCATGTCCAATGCTGGAACCGATGCCAATTCCTAAACCATGTCCACCAATACCAGAACCAACACCATGTCCAATACTGGAACCAATACCAGAACCAACACCGTGTCCACCAATACCAGTACCAACACCATGTCCACCTATACCAGTACCAACACCATGTCCAATACCAGTACCAACATCATGTCCTCTAATTCCAGTACCAACACCATGTCCACTAAGACCAGTACCAATTCCATGTCCAATGCTGGAACCGATGCCAATTCCTATACCATGTCCACCAATACCAGAACCAACACCGTGTCCACCAATACCAGAACCAACACCATGTCCAATACTGGAACCAATACCAGTACCAGCAGCATGTCCACCAATACCAGTACCAACACCATGTCCAATACCAGTACCAACACCATGTCCACTAATAGCAGTACCAATACCATGTCCAATGCTGGAACCGATGCCAATTCCTAAACCATGTCCACCAATACCAGAACCAACACCGTGTCCACCAATACCAGTACCAACACCGTGTCCACTAATACCAGAACCAACACCATGTCCAATACTGGAACCAATACCAGTACCAACAGCATGTCCACCAATACCAGTACCAACACCATGTCCAATACCAGTACCAACACCATGTCCTCTAATTCCAGTACCAATACCATGTCCACTAATACCAGTACCAACACCATGTCCACTAATACCAGTACCAATTCCATGTCCAATGCTTGAACCGATGCCAATTCCTAAACCATGTCCACCAATACCAGAACCAACACCGTGTCCACCAATACCAGAACCAACACCATGTCCAATACTGGAACCAATACCAGTGCCAACTCCGTGTCCACCAATACCAGAACCAACACCATGTCCAATACCAGTACCAGTACCAACACCGTGTCCACCAATACCAGTACCAACACCATGTCCAATACCAGTACCAACGCCGTGTCCACCAATACCAGAACCAACACCATGTCCATCAATACCAGTACCAACACCATGTCCATCAATACCAGAACCAACACCGTGTCCAATACCAGAACCAACACCATGTCCATCAATACCAGTACCAACACCATGTCCATCAATTCCAGTGCCAACACCATGTCCACTAATACCTGAGCCGACACCGTGTCCACTAATACCAAGTCCAATACCATCGAATTGATTATCTTTGAATCCGGCACCGAAACCTATCCCAAAATCGTTTTGGTTACGAGAAATAAAGCTCGAGTCTTTAAATGCAGTATTGCTGAATCCAGTATTATGAAAAATGTCATCTTGGAAACCGAATCCAGCGCCAACACTGTCGGTGAGACCAACAGTGCCTAAATCATTAAAACCAAATGAATTGATTCCGGACCTCTTGGTCGATTTTGGAAAAATTTTGGCTGCGACTGACTTTCCATTGGTTTTGCTGATGACTGGCGCTGTGATGGCTGGAGCAGTTAGACTAAGCACGAACAATAGGACAGCTTTGGTTTGTAAGACCTAAAAAAGAATCATACATGACAAATCATCGAAGAATAGATCCATCAAAAGCTGTACAAATATTCAATATACGAGCAAAACCTGCAATAATACTCTCAATTTTTGCTGCAATGCTTCGATTTCCGGTAGACTGATCAAAGCTAAATGGATGAACAAGGTTAGCACCGTGGTAGCTTTGTTTTTAATTTCTGGCCTAATAAAATATTAGCTCCTCAAAAAGAGATGCCCAGTGGACAAATCAAGTGGCAGAGTGACATCATGTGTCCCGGAAGAGTGAGCACATCCCGCCCTTTGGGGTTGACCATTGACACATGTAATAAACGACGTTCACTCAGCAAATCAGAACAAAAAAAAAACAGAAAAGAAATTAACCGTGGTACAAAGCACACAAAATTTTAAAACAAGAATGAAAATATTGGAAAAAATTAGATTTACCTTCATGGCTGGATTTCCGATATAATACAAAAAATCTCGTTCATTTGAAGTTTTTATAGAAAAAGATTTATGGGAAAATAGAATTCTTAGATCATCTTAAAACATATATAAACTATCATCTCCGAGTGCAAAACAATTTATTGGACAATAAACCTTCTAATATACGCTAATCCGATACTTAATATTTATGTGAATGCATATCGTTAACCGGGCACTGGGTTGAAAATGAAATGGAATTTTACTGTTTGAACATGATTATAAACGCAGTGCGCAATTATGAAAATTTTCCAACAACACCGACCTGTTCTTCTTCCTTTGAAAAAAATGTGTACAGCCTGAAGGATTTGGGGCTCCCTTTTAACGCCAAATCCGTATGACATGATCTATTTTTCAGCTCTATTGACATTCATTATGACTGAGGAGAGTGTCCTGCAAACACTATCAGAACGACCTTCCCGAAACAAATGCAACCACTCTGAGGTTATGTTGTCCAGTCGGCTTCCCTTCCGTTTTGTTTACATAGCTGAAAATTTATAATGTTCATGATAAAACCATTAGCCTAATTAAATTCAAATAAAAGTTTTGATAAGAGTAGCGTTTCCTTAACTGATGTATTCGTTTTTAAAAATAAGAAATGTAAGGGAGAGAACCTATTGCTTTGTTTCATCCAGTAATAATAGCCTGCCAGATAGATGAGCCGAAGACCAGTTGACGGACCCCAAGCATGAATTATGACTATCGTGAAAATATGGAAAAGAAATATCTTCATATAATACAATGGACAAAAAGGGTATGACATAGCTCTTTTGTTACATTTTTAAAAATGTTCAGTGCTTTTTTGCTTCTTATACTTTTTAATTTCTAATAAACAAAAGCACGTCTCATACTGCCTCCATGTTTTCGGGTAAAACATTCACAAAACCTCATCAGGACAATGGGTTTGAAAATTGATTTATTTATTTATTATGGTGTGTGGCAAAGCAGCCAAAGTGTGAATTGGCCGTCTATACAATAATATTTAGCCCTAAAACTAACCTGAAATACAGTGGAAGACCCCCTGCTGGAATGACCCAGGATATATTTGGTAGTTTATGAATAGTTGATAGTAAAAACTAATGATCTGTAACAAAGACACTGCAGATTCTTCCCTGGTGTTTTATGTGATAACTGAACTTTGTCACTGGACACTAGCAGAGTTTGGCTTAGTGTATTTGTACAGCATCGATTAGTCATAGGTTATTTTACAGGATTTTGCATCTTTGTCTTCTTTTTCCCACCGGTTTCCCCCTGTCAATGATGCAGGTAAGAGGGACTCGAAAAGCGTCTAGTCGTTCGGATGGGACAATAAAACGAGGCCCCGGCAAGCGCCGCCACTGGTTTTGAATCGTGTGATAAGAAATGTCGTTGAACCCCATTATGTTAAATCACATACCACATAATTCCCTACCCTTCCTCAACCCCTTCCTCAAAAAATTAGTGTGCAGACATACTTGTGCTCTAAGGTTGAAAACTTCCGCTCAGTGTGATAATTCAAAGCTTGGGTTAATGACCAAAGTAACTGGTAGTTTCATGGCCTGTGAACTTATAAGAAGGAAATACTCATACAAAAATATATTTTATTTAACCAAGACTGTCGAAATTGTACACCTATATTTTTTACAATTTTCTTCTTTAAAAGGTTTAGTAATCGTAGTGACCTCCGACAAGACCGTGTCCTCCGACGAGACCATGTCCTCCGACAAGACCGTGTCCGGCAACTCCTCCGACAATACCGTGTCCTCCGACAAGACCATGTCCGGCAACTCCTCCGACGAGACCATGTCCTCCGACAAGACCATGTCCTCCGACAAGACCGTTTCCTCCGACTAGACCATGTCCTCCGACAAGACCGTGTCCTCCGACGAGACCATGTCCTCCGACAAGACCGTGTCCGGCAACTCCTCCAAAACCGTGTCCTCCGACAAGACCGTGTCCTCCGACGAGACCATGTCCTCCGACAAGACCGTGTCCGGCAACTCCTCCAAAACCGTGTCCTCCGACGAGACCATGTCCTCCGACAAGACCGTGGCCGGCAACTCCTCCGACAAGACCGTGTCCTCCAGCGAGGCCGTGTCCGGCAACTCCTCCAAAACCGTGTCCTCCGACAAGACCGTGTCCAGCAACTCCTCCTCTAACTCCGTTAAGACCATATCCGTATCCAAGGCCTTGTCTTCCGAAACCGAAACCATGTCCAACACCAACAATGCCTTGTCCTCCGACAAGACCGTGTCCGGCAACTCCATTGAGACCATGGCCATAAGCTCCGACGATTCCGTGACCTAAACCAAAACCAGCAACAAGTCCGTGTCCACCAACAAGACCACGACCAGCAATACCATGTCCGGCGATTCCACGACCGAAACCAGCAACTCCGTGACCGAGTCCAAGACCAGCAACAGCATGTCCGGTACCAATGATACCATGACCGACTCCGGCTCCGAAAAATCCTTTTCCGAAACCTAATCCTGCAAATCCACGTCCGAAACCATTGTTATAACCATAACCGTAGCCATTACCATTTCTGAGTCCAGCACCAGCAATATTGTATTGGGCGGCAGCTGTGGCGATACAGACAGCGATAACGAGGAGAGCCTGAAATAAAAATTTGTTGGATATTAGATATTGCTTACAATACAGAAAGAAGTTTACCATATTGTACGAATACCATATTCTTGTTCAGACTTCCTGAACACCCGATGCCACTTTGCAACAGCATGTGCCAATTCGGCACTCTATCTAAGAAGTGCTCAAGCGTTCTGATTTTATATAACGAAAAGAGTCATATCGTTGCGTGTTTTCTTCTCATAAATAAAATGATAATGCTTATTGATATGAAACGGTGATAACCCGTCTACTTTGCTTTTTTTTAGTAAAGACTAGATGAGTCCAAGCCGTCCAAAGAGAACTTAAACCCAGTGAATTAAGGTTTTGAGAACAATAAAACCTTTCGAATCTAACAAATAAATATATACATTACCTGCATGGTGAAAGAATTGAAGTTTTCTTGAAGACAGAAATTGATCAGATGATGTTTGATCGTTGCTTCTGTTGCCTTATATACACTACCAACTCTCTTAAACTAAGCAGAGCGCTCTAATGAATTCAAAACTCCCCAATAAAATCGAGAATAAAAATCTTTAATCAACAGTAAATCTTTTGTGAGTTTTATTTTACTTATATATTATCTTCTTATTAATAATTCGAAATAAAATTTTATAGATTTTGCGGTGTCTAGGGAATTACCCAAAGGGAATAAAATGTTCATGGGCAGAAGGGATTTTTGGAGTTAAAGATCGCGAGGTCATATTTTTGTGGCCAGTTAAATAAAAATTAATTTGAAAATTCATTTATAGTCCTATATTATAATACCTATATTAAACTATAAATTTTATTATTGGTGAATATAAATAAGGCTCGTAAAAGTGCGAAGATGTGAAATGAAAATTATAATATTATTGCTCTTAAAATGATGCGGTCATCTGGTTTTGCTTAATAATTCTCTCTTTGTGATTTTGCCGAGTTCCCTTTTTCCCTTTTGTCAATGGTGAGATCGGACGGGCATTTTAACAGAAATTTGGCATAGTAAGAAATTCAATGAAATATTAGAGACGCTGTGAGTTCTCACGAATTTTCAACATATTTGGAAAGGTAATGCCATAAGGTACGAAGAAATGCGGCAACATGCTCCAATTAGTCTTAATGAAAGCGCTATTAAAATTTTTGTTAATCTTCATTCATAACGGTTTACATCTACCGAAATCAATGAAGAAAGGCAATGCACTCACATCTGTCGACTGGAAATATTATTCCTGTGAGCTTAGTGTTTCACTACAATTAGACTGTCATATCATATATTTATTCGCCAATTGTAATTTCATTTATGCATTACTTGTAAATTCTTGGCTGTATTTGAGAAGATATGAATGAATTATTATTTATCTTTTAGAATACCATTAATACATTAGGATAAAAGACTCCACTATTGCAGAAGCAAGTTTGAACGGGAACCACTGGCGTAGACTGGAAGATGAGGCTCAACAAATGGGACTTTTAAATGTGTCATTGATGCACATACAACTTCTTGACAAACTATTTGTCTATTCCCTCTAATATCGTACGTCGTGTATCAGTTAAAATCGTACCTGCTAGACATTCTGTTAATGGATATACCTAACAATTTTATTTTGGTATTGGAACTACTTGAATCTGTAACCTCAAGCGCAATGAAAAAATTAGTTTATTTAAATGTCTGCCAATGTCGCTTGTTGGACAATTCAAATAAATTTTCAAGCTATTACAGTTAAATCTTCAATACATACTACATTGTTACTGATCGACTTTCTTTGAAAAGACATATTTAAAAATTATGGTAGGAGTTACTTCCCTTGAAAGAGAAATGTTTCTTTTACTTGTTCGCCCTTATATTTATGTAAGAGTGTGTCCTGTGATCACTTGAATTTGGGTCCAAAGTTTATTCACAAAATGTTCCCCGGTACTTCCCTTAGAGTGGAATCGATAAAATTGGCAATGATATTCTGTTACTGGACATACCTAACAATTATATTTTGGTATTGGAACTACGTGAGTCTGTAACCTCAAGCGTAATAAACAATAAGTTTTATTTAAATGTCTGCCAATGTCGCTTGTTGGACAATTCAAATAAATTTTCAAGCTATTACTGTGAAATCTTCAATACATACTACATTGTTACTGATCGACTTTCTTTGAAAAGCCATATTTAAAAATTATGGTAGGAGTTACTTCCCTTGAAAGAGAAATGTATCTTTTACTCGTTCGCCCTTATATTTATGTAAGAGTGTGCCCTATGATCACTTGATTTGGGTCCAAAGTGTATTCACAAAATGTTCACTGGCACTTCCCTTAGAATGGATTCGATAAAATTGGCAACCCCCCCCCCCTTCACCCCAATCCAAAGATCTTGGATCCGTCACTGGGGTGAGGATCAGCTACTTTTCAATCCACTCTGAAACACGAGAAAGAGATAAACTTCAAGACAACAATTTGACTGACTTCATTTATCGGAGTTGCTACCCTTTTCCTAAGAACAGAAAACTGCTATTTTGTTGAGCTTTTATTGTCAAAGTCTTATAATAGTGGCACATGTGATGAATAAATACGTTTTCAAAGGTTATACCGTTCATTGAAATTTGTTTCATTATCACAGATAATTTTAATATGATTATCAAGATGAACACAAAGGCTTTTAGTTACTGATCGTAAAAAATGACAATTAAGCTGATAGTCATAATGTTGCGATATCAGAATCCTCTTCTGAAGAATTCGCTTCCTAATTTCTTCTTATGATATATATGTTTTTCTTCCCATAACCTTGTTTGGATAATATGTAAGCGCCAAAGGGGCCATTGACTAAATCGAATTGAATAGACCATAGAATGTAACAAACCAGACAGAGTTCTGGATCTAAGTAAGTGACGCGAGACGTTAAATGGTGCTCAGTATCAAATCTCTGGACGGTCAGCTGAAACCGATCACTACTTTCAATAGATGATTTATCAAAGAATGTCTCACACACAGTAGCGAGGCTAGAAAGTACAGTTTGATGAATGGTGACATCTCTGATATTTTTTTCAACTCAGATTTTTTACATTGTGTTCTGAATCCCTTCAGCATACTTCTTGCACAATATCAGCTCAAAAATCGAAAAAATATTGGTCAAAATTATTGGTTTTTGTACAGTTGGTTACGAGTAATTCTGTAAAAAAATCTACTCTGAGGATCTGATTGTGCCGACTGATTAGACTATTAAGGCAATTATTGGTAATCAAATGAAAGATTATCTCAGGATTGGAAACTCTATTAAATGATTGGTCGCTCACAATTGCAACCAATGAAATAACAGTGTGTCAATTCCGATATTACATTAATTTCCGCGTAACGGATTAGTGAAATTAATAATAAAATTAATCCCATACACTGTCCTTAATCCAATTGCTTCGAAATATAATAGACTGTATGTTAAATCGATGCAAATGCAACCATTAACATGTGATAATCCAATAGGAATCGCTTCCGGATCGAGGATTAAGGATTTCTACATTATTAATTATATCGATATTCCGTATTCCGTATTCCCATTCCGGATGGGAAGAAATAAGATAGAATTCGCAGACAAACCCCCAAACATGATACAGTTATACTTTTCACTCCAACTGCTCGACATTATTTGTCAAAAATGGAAGTCATATACGACCAAGAAAAACCTCAAACCCCACCACTCATTTTAAACAAAACCATAAACAGTTTAAAATATAATCTTTATCCAGTATAAAATAGTAAAAAAATGACATTACAAGAAGGTAACCAAAGATCGGCATTTTCTATGACATACAAATAACCTAGCACAATTTTATCGTATACTACTTAAGGAGTTAACAAAAAACTTCTCACCCATCAATGTAAAATTTTCGAAACCTTGCGATTAAGAAAATCACGAAGGAGCATTATTTACATCATTCAAAATTTGTAAACTGGTGAAACATTGTGCATAATCAGTTTCAACAGTGTAAAATGTCGAAACGTTGTGTCTAATAACCCACGAGTAGTATACCACACGATTGTGCCATGTTAGTGTATGTGCTCTATATCCCGAGATTTAAAATTTATGCCTAATATTTAGGATTGTAATGGTTATCAATATTCTTATTGTAAGAATTGAAGTTATTGCTTGGGTGCCCGTTGTAGTTGCCAACTTGGTGAGCATAGTCGTTACCCTTTGGTTTGTAGTCGTTGGATTTTGGGCTGTAATCATTGGATTGATGAGCGTTGTTGTAGTTATTTGGTTTGTAGTTGTAGTCATTAGATGGATGAGAGTTGTATCCAACGGGTTGGTATTTTGGTTGTTGATAGCCATTTGATTGGTGAGCGTTGTATCCAATTGGTTGGTACTTTGGTTGCTGGTTGTTGTAATCGTTTGAAGGATGGCCATTGTAGTTATTGTCGTGTCCATTGTATCCAACGGGTTGGTATTTCTGTGGTTGTTTGTTGTAGTCATTTGAAGGATGAGAATTGTCGTATTGTTGGTAGTTGGCTGGCTTATAGTCATTGGTTTTGTGATCATTATTGTAATTGTTTGGCTTGTACCCGTAGTTGTTGTCTGTGTGTTGGTTGTAATCATTGGATGGCTTGTAGTCATTGACCTGGTGTTGGTTGTAGTCAGTTGGTTTATAATCGTTGATTGGGTGTTGGTTGTATCCTGTTGGCTTGTAGTCGTTGATAGGATGTTGGTTGTAGTTGTTGGTTGGCTTGTAGTCGTTGATTGATTGTTGGTTGTAGCCTGTTGGCTTGTAGTCGTTGATTGGGTGTTGGTTGTATCCAGTTGGTTTGTAGTCGTTGATTGGGTGTTGGTTGTATCCAGTTGGCTTGTAGTCGTTGATTGGATGTTGGTTGTATCCAGTTGGCTTGTAGTCGTTGATTTGGTGTTGGTTGTATCCAGTTGGCTTGTAGTCGTTGATTGGGTGTTGGTTGTATCCAGTTGGCTTGTAGTCGTTGACTTGGTGTTGGTTGTATCCAGATGGCTTGTAGTCGTTGATTGGGTGTTGGTTGTAGTTATATTGTGGCTTGTAGTCGTTGCCTTGGTTTTGATTGTAGCTATTGGTTGGTTTGTAGTCGTTGATTGGTTGTTGGTTGTATCCAGATGGTTTGTAATCATTAATGGGTTGGTGGTTGTAGTTATCTGAGTGTCCGTCAACGTGTGGACCGAAGCCGGTAATGTGGTTATCTTTATGGCCATTGCTGGGATAGGTTTGGTGATCTTTTCCATAAGAGGGAGCGCCATATTTAGGAACAACAGCTTCAGAAACTCCGTTGAAGCCACCGGCGATAGCATGCCCAACACCAAGTTGTCGACCAGCGGCATAAGGTCCATTATAAGGACCAGCTCCGAAACCAAAACCAAGTTTACCAAGACCGTTTCCGAATCCAAATGTGTTGATGCCTTTACCAGAGAGTGGATTGACGAGACTCTTTCCAAAACCATAATCTTCACTCTTTACACCATATCCAACGGGGGCGACATGGTTGTCGAGGTTCTTATGTGGACCTCCGTATCCAGATACACCATGTCCAAAAGAATGGTCGTCATGTTTGAGACCAACGGGACCATCAACTGGGGAGATGGCACCGATTTTAACAGATGGTGTTTTGATATCGTGAACAGGAGCAATTCCGTGGTTGTCATGACCAAGATTGTGGTCATCATGACCAAGGTGGTTGTCGTGTTTCAAGTCGTGGTTGTCAATTCCGTGACTATCATGACCATATCCATGACTATCTTTACCAAGACTGTGTCCATCATGACCTAAATCATGTACATCATGATTATTGTGTCCAATTTTATCAGCATAAAGCTTGCTACCAAGAACTTTACCAACTTTACCTCCAACAATGGCGTCGTTTCCGTAACTGATGCTTTGAGCTACAGCTGCAGAAATGCAGAGAGCGAAAAGAAAAACCTGAAATATACAAATTTATAATTGTACAAGCTAAGGAAGTGTTGCTAGAAAGTGTAAGAAGGACATCTCCGTGAGTCTTGGACTAGAACGTCTTCCTCGTACAAAATCAATTCTTGATGTATCCATCATGGTCCCGACGGAAATACTCGAGCCAATTTCGATGTTCCGTTTTTCTATCGTTTTTGGAACTTTATTTCATTTTAAATAGAAAATCCCAATTCGACTAAAAATAAATACGCGGTAGCTGTTTTTGAACCGAAGTGAGATACGTCCCCGTTTTAAGAATAGTATATATCTTAACATGGTAATAAGCCTTCCTACGACCACAACTTGCACAGGAGGCTACAGCAAGGTCGCGAGGTAGCCTTTAGTGAAAATAGTTCCTTACCTGCATTCTGATTGTAAGAAGGTGTCTTGTCTTGTCTGACTGGATCGGATCAATGTTGGATTATAACTTATATCATTCTTATAAACCCCAGAAACGTCTTTCAATTACATTTCATTAGCATTTCATTGGGAAACACTCTCGACACCTCCCGAGGAGATGCACATTAATATGACTAATAAAAGTAACTTTTAGATAGTTCTACTTTCAATTTCGTATTAAATCGCATCTGTTTAAAACCTCTAATAAAATTTAATTGATGCACTCCATAGAAATTGGCGATGTTTAACAAAGGGATCAAAGGAGTATTAAAAATTTGCAATTATAATCGAACTGCCGTGAAATATTTATTATGGACCTAGTGACGGTTTTAAAGCTCAGCTGTCAGAGAAACATCAGTTCAGACACAAATACGTGTGCCATTTGAAACCTGATACACCTGCGCAAAATAGTGGCTTCTTAGCTATGAAAATGTTGTCCAAAGTTGGTACGGTCTAATGAAACATCACAAACACAGAATATTAGCCAATTTGTAAACCAAATCTTGGCTGATCTAAAGAATCACAAATGAAAAAAATAAAACATTTGCCCATAGTTTCTTGATGTAATATAAAACATAAAGCTTTTCAAAACAAACTCTCAAAATTTCATACCTGAAACACATGTCAATAACAGAAGATCGGCCCTGGTCAATTTGTGCCTTGTATTGTATAAGAACCCCGTTATTGCTGCGTGTTCTTTAAGTTCGCCTATTTTGTTCAATTTTGTCAATCTTATTAGATGTGTTTGCTAATGGATATGTTTTTTGAACTACATGTATATTATCAACTGAATGGAGGAACTATAGAAAAAACTTCAAACCAAAACCCATGGGTTCACAGTAGAAATAGTGCCCTATACTTTGGTTAAATGTTTATTTTCGTCGGCCTAGAAGATATTTAACCCACCGCAATCTATGAGAGTAAGTCGTTACCAGAAATACAATTTTCTAATGCTGAATATTGTTTGAATGTGAAGCATCTTTAAAATGTACGGTTGTCTTACGTTTACTAAAGCAAATTCCTAATCACCCTAACAGTATCCATAAGCGTACGAGGTTATTAATTCGAAGCTGTGTTTCTGAAAGACAATTAAAGTGTTTCATAAACTGTCCGCTAAATATCGAAATCTTTCTGCTGGACCATTTTGCACCCATAAAGCCCTCTTCATACTCCACCAATATATTGTATCCAACCAAAGCCCGAGAGTTCAAACTTTTAGGCATATGTACACCACTACAATAGTACACATTTCTGGTATAATATTATATAATAATGCGCAGATGATTTGCTATTATTTCAATTTTTTGCCATGCTTTACTGCCATCAAAATAGTCTTCTTTTTGACTTATTTTGACAGAGATCGAATTAATGAAGAAACGTCTTGTGGGCAATTGCGAGCGAAGGTTTTACACGTACACCCATTCTCTGAATAACACCAAATATGCGCTGTCTGATTGAATTATTTGTAATCCCTGAATAGAGTAACTACTCATAAATTTGGGCAACAGTGCGTACCTATGGGTCCCCCCCCCCCCCCACGTTTTACTTTTCTTCACCCGATTATACTTAAGAAGATGGGAACGTCAAGAAATATGCAACGGGAATTTTGCCAAGATTGTGGCATTAGCCCCGTTTTTCGTCTTCCAATAATTGTCGAGGGATAGCACAGCCTGTTTCACTCAAGGTCATAATTTATTGCCCCATCTGAACGACTAGATGATTTTTCCAGGTCAGCCTCTCTGACAATAAACACCGGGTTGAAAATACCCTCTGGCAGGACAAAACCTTAAGCAAGCAAGCAAGCACCGACCTCACTAAGCAGCAACTGTAAGATAGCTGTATATATAATAATGGACTATGCATGATGTCTGTGGTACAGTGAAACATCCTTGCTATAATCCTTGTTATAATTATGCAGTATATTTATTAGTATACAAGTCAGTCAGTCAGTCAGTGGACATCTTTTAAACCATTGACCTGTATTAAAGCACCCATTTGTCCCTTGAGGTAGATATAAATACAATTCATATTCATAGTTGTTTTACGACCACTATTTAACTGGTCATTAAAGGGATACCAAGGCGGTTTTCTAGCACTTCACATATTATATTAGAGATACTTTTAGCATGCATCTTTACATTACGTAGCAGTCTGGTTTTTCTGAAATTTCAATAATTATACACATCGGACAGGAAAGGGAATTGCTGCCTTAACTGTCCCTGATATCAACATCTTAGCAAGGTTGCACTAATTACCAAAGAGACGATGGGTATAAAACTGTCATAAACAATTTGGTTCAACGATTCGCATCGTCAAACATCAGTTAATAGCTAGGAAGAAGGACATCTTCGGCTCAAGGAATTCATACATGTATATGCTTTTATTCACAGTCGCATTTAATTCAATTTAAATCCATTAGAGAGGACAAAAAGAACATGCTACTGTTCTCTACTGAAATGGCTATTGAAAACTTACAACGCCCTGCATTCTCATGACAATTTTACCATAGCAGAAGCATTCGCATATGCTTTTTCGATTTTTAATCGTCGATGATCATTTAACGAAGCAAGGAAATATTCATCGATAAGACACCGAAAAAAAAATCTAAAACAAACAAAATATTTCAAACAATCCACCTTTATTAATTCAATAAAATAAGTACAGTATATAAATAAAATGGTTATAAGATAAATCATCAAATAGCTTTGAAAATTGTAGGTTGTGCAAATCATTCGTTCCAGATGGGCTTTTAGCAGCTAGAATTGTGAAAAATTGGATATTTGACCATATGCGTCGGCTGTGTACATAAGTTCTGTTTGTATCAAACCAGTTGGCAGCCAGAGATCGAAAAAAATCCTACTCAACGCAGTTGTGATTATTTTTGATCATAAAGAAGAGAATTTTTTTTTCTGCATAAATTGCGACCCTATTGTGACAAATACTCAAAAACTGGTTTTCAAAATATTAAAGGTTTTAAAATTGAGCTTGTAATTTTCAAAATAAACGGATAGAAGCCAAATTCTTTTCAAAATTTTGCACTTTCGGACTGAGAACTTCAAAATTTTGGAATGTGTTTCAGTTTCTTAAAATTCTAAAATTTTCCTAAATTTTCCTGAATAATTTATATAAATTAGAAACAAGTTTTTGAAAATTGCCCTTTTGCTTTTAATTAATTAAATTAATTTTAATTGTTCAGCAAATTTGATCATGATAACTATATCTCAAAGTACAATGGAATTGTAAAATTTAGAATAATTACTATGTTGGCGTATCAAATTTAGAAATATATACTTGATGCTTGAAAAGTTCAGGTAAAGTAATTGAAGTACAGTTATCGAAACAAGCCGAAATATACAATTGTAAAGTCGAGTTGAACTGGTAGCGACAAAGTTATACAAATATAAGCATATGAGACCCCTAACGTTAGTAATAATTGCCAAAATTTACTTTCTGAAGTTAGAGAAAGAAAATCGGAAGGGAGCGAAACCTCCAACATTGCCTCTTGGTTTGTTCTGGAAACCGAATCCTCCGAAACCAGAATTGTTGGATTTGTATCCGACTCGTCCACTTTTAACTGGGGAGATACCGAATCCGTTGTTACCGAAAGAGTGGAAGTTGTTTCCGAAGTTGGAGAATCCACCATTACCGTGGGTACCTCCGATATGTTGGATTCCACGTCCGTGGTTTCCTTGTCCGACATTTTCTTGAACTCCTTGTCGTCCTTGAATCTGGGCGACGTTGTTATCGTGGTAGTTTTTCTGGGCGGCGTTTTGTTTATATCCTTGGGCAGCATTAGCAGATTGAGCGACCTTGCCAGTATTTTTCTTGTGGTGTCCGTTGATAGAAGCAGCCTTGTTTCTCTTATGTTTCTGTCCTTTAGCTTGTCGGGCGTGTACGTTTTCATCCTTTCGTCGATCAGCAGTGAAAGCGTTTTGGTTGTGAGCAACGTTGAATTTCTTGGCACTTTGGGCAGCGGCGGCTTGTTGGTTACCGAAGTCGCTTTCAATTCGTTTTCTGTTGAACTTGAGTCTTTCAAAGTTGTTACCACCTTCTTGTTTGTCGTGGAAGAATCTTTTGAGTTTTCGTTGGTTCTGGTGTCTGTCGCTAAGGATTCTTTTGGAGTTTTCTTTGTCGAATTTAGCTTCATCTAAATCTTTCTTGGCTTGGCTGGCATGTTTTCGTGCAGCAGCATCAGCGAATTGTCGGTTGCTGGCGGAAGCACTCTTAGCAGCAGCGGCGTTCTTGTTGTTAAATCCACCATTGGCAGAGTTGTGGACGGCGTTTTTCAAGTTACCTCTTCGACTATCTCTCAAGCTCTTGATTTGGTCAACATCATAAAGATCCTTGGCTCGTTGGTAATCATTAAGGGCAGCAGCGTGTTTACCAGCTTTTCTGGCGTTGTGGTTGTTGGCGTTTTGGATGTGTTTAGCGGTTTCACCATACAGAGCAGATTTCTTGGCACCATTAGCACCAACCTGTCCGAGGGTAGCACCATTTCGTCCTCCTTTACCACCATGGACACCACTATGTCCGGCACCATGTCCAGCAATACCAGCACCATTTCGTCCGTGTTTACCATCTTGGTAGAATCGTTGAGCATTTTCTCCCTTTTTACCATGGGCATCTGAAGCGTCATTTCGGTTGAATTGAGCATCTTTAACGTTGAAATCATCGAATTTTCTGACGGATTGATCTTTACCTCGTTGGTTGGCTCGGAAACGTTTATCTTTCTTGTCATAGGCAACATCTTGGAGATCAGCTCGTTTTTGGGCTCGGTCAAGTCGGTTATCTTTGTTGGCGTATTTATTGTTGTGGATGGCTTTTTGGGCAGCATTTTTGTTGAATTTACCTTCTCGGACAGCTTTTTGGGCATTGGCTCTGTCAAGGGCAGAAGCGTGGTTGCCTCTTCGGAGATTAAGAGCTCGTTGTCTTTCTCTGAATTCATCAAGTTTGTGGCTGTTGGTTCCAAGTTCTTCTTCAAATCCACCCTTTTCTCCAACGTGTTTGTTGAATTTCTTGTCGAAACCATAAGAGATGTTATCGTTAAGGACTTTACCTCTGTTGAAGGATTTCTTTTGGGCATTGGCTTGGTTGAATCCAGCTTTGTTGGCGACATCGTTTTGTTTGAACTGACCATCCTTGAAGACAGAGTTGGCGTTTCTTACGGCTTCGTTGGCAGCTTGGTTGGCGAGGGTGTCGTACAGAGCGGAGCTTTGATCATCATCTTGATGAGCGAAACCTCTGTTAGATTTGGCAACTTTTTGGTTTTGTCCGAAACCACTGTGGACTTGGTTGTTTTGGTGTCCTGCTTTGTGGGAAAGTTGTTCTTTTCCGGAATGAGCGTGTCTGTTCAGAGCTTTTGAGTTTTCACCATTGAATGCAATACCTTGTCGGGCAGCATGGCCAGAGTGGTCATCATGGATATTATCAACAGCAGCAATAACTCCGAAACATACAACAGCAATAAGACAAGCGACCTGGAAATATAAAATATAAGAATGTTGAGCTCTTTCGAATAGTTGTGGAATAATTATCAAAAGAGGCAAAAAGACACATACATTCACACAGAATCAAGTTTATTTGGTTTCTTACGATCCGTAACACAATGTTTACGTATTTGTGACATTTCAGAATCAAAAATACCAAACAAACATAAGCTTTGCGAATGGATCGCTGTGCTTACATACATGGTTTCAAATTTGCATCAGGAGCTCCATCCAAACCAAAGTTATGAAAATGGTCAAATTAGATTCTTACGCCGATTTCAACTTAAAACTTATCTTTAACATGAGTCGTAAGTAAAGCCACAAAGAATCCTTGTTGTGTCTTATGGTGTTCAGAAGTTGTTATGTTGACTGAACTTTACAAGTAAGCTGAAAACTGTTAGTTAATTTCTTACCTTCATTTTGAAGCTGATTCAAGTCCAAAAACCAAGGAGGAACTAGACTGAATGAAGCGATGCCTCTGTTCACTTTGCCTCTAGTATTTATATTTTTACCTCAATACCTAATAAACTTTATTACAACTCAAAGACATCTTTAAAATTTGTCATTTTAACGACTTTTACACTGAAAATCTACATAAAAATTGAAATGCGAAATGCGGACGACATTGGTCAAATGATTTGATTGAAATTTATTGGATTTTCATAGATGTCAAAGTACAGAATCTTGTAGATATCTTGTCATCTATGTAACGTTAACTTGTCCAAATGACAATAATCACCCCGGGAAGTGTAATGTGTGGATATCAATTGCGTTTAAGTAGCTAATTTTTAAGTCGTGTTGTGATTTTTTCAATACATGAGATTAAATTCACGCCTGGAATCTTGACAAAGTTTAGCCCCCAATAAATCAATCATCTATTTGATTCAAATTCAAATTTTATCGTTTTAAATGTAACCAGATATATTTGACCTTATTGACATTCGAGATTTGAATTCCGTTGAGGTTTTGGCTTTGTTGATGAGTCTGGATATCTCATTCTATTGACGACTGTACACTTTCTTTGATAAGATGAAAAGAGCTTGCATCGGTCTGAGTGCTAAAGGATCTGGCGATTTACGAGTTAGTTAAAATCGAATAGAAGAAGATAAGCCTATTTCCTCTGAACGCTGCCTGGTGATATCCATTAGGATGTAAAACCCAATTTCATTTCGTGCCATATATCTTTTCCCAATGATATTTGAGGTAATCAACGGTAATCGAAAGGGGCATCGACGTGTCATTCCTTATGGAGATTCCACACAACTGATTCGTGTAGTTATTTTGGGTGCATTTAATGATGAAATGAGATGAATTGAGTCTTTTGTGGAAAACTGGGTGATTGGAGAAGATAGGAACATTAATAAAGTCAAGTTTTTCAAAATTAATAAAGCGCCGTTGAGATTATTGACACGTTAGATAGCAAGTAACGGTGAATTTTGTGCATACATTATGTACAGATTATGGACAAGGGTCAAAATTGTACAGGTCGTCTTAATGACCCCCTCCCCACCCCCTTACAAACAATTGGACCATGATATCGGTTGGGGCTTTTTTATTATTTTAATTATTATGCCCACGGCTTGCCATTGATGTTAACCTCGCCTGAGGACTTAATACTGCTAGTATAGTCTATTGTCAATAACCCATAGAGGTGAAATAAAGTGGAACGTATACCCTCACATTCCCAATTCGCCATGGTATAGTGGAATAAAAAGGATTTGCTCATTTCTCTGTTCAGTTCTGACCAATGAATATTAATGGGGATATCACCTTTAGATCAGCGAGTATGCAGGGCGATCTCAGAATGTGTATTTTTATGTATGGATATTTCATCAGGATAATATTGTTTCAAAAACAATATTAAACATTGTCTCCTTGTAAAAATCAGGCACGGGACATTTGCAATTCCATAAAATCACACGTGTCATTGCAAACGAACCACCTATTTTTATAGCTAAATTTATGACATGTTAAAGCGGTGTTACGAAATAAACAATCTTATTCGGGTCGATGGATATAGTCAAAAATTCACAAAATTATCGATAGGAAAACTGTGGAAACATATCACTGTATCATTAAAATCACAAACTGTTCTTTGAACAGTTGCTTAAAGTATCAAAAATATACCATTGAAATAATTGTAGATACTTTTCAGGTGCCAAGTTCAATCACTGTTCAATTTTCAAACCAGGGGGATCAAAGATCCCATTAGCACGTAAACACTGAACACGAAATATTCTAGGTTTCTTTGAATATTTTTTTTTCATCTTCTGGGGTGCATATCACAATCAAAGTTTGTGTTTCACATTGATACGATGTTTGCAAGAGATCAAGATACGTGATAGTTGGATGCACTATTATCGTTCAGGAGTAGTCTATGCAGTTGACCGAGGTATATCGCATAGTCCAATGCGAGCAAGCATACTCCTAATGGTAATTTTGTGCCTTAAAGGTTTGGTTAACAATATGAAAACTGTTCATTGCGATCACAATCCATGTAAGTCGTGAACAATTAACTCTAAGCATTATTATGCTTATCTATATGAAGCACTGCGATAATACTTGGCTCGAGTCAAATTATTTTGATACAACAATCCCCACAAGACAAAGCAAATGGATGGACATTCGTTTGGTATATACCCCAAGTGGATGCATAAAAAACATAAAATTAGTATGAAAATATTCTTTATTTTAGTAAAATAATGTTAAAAAACATAAACACCAAACCATACCTTTAAAAAAATAAAACTTTTGTACAATATTCTGCAATCTTATGGCCAGTGGAATTCAAAATTATTTAGTATCTTTCTGAGAACAATTTTAAGTAGCGGATTCGGATCGAAAAGGATAGAAATAGGATTTGAAAAACGAAAGTTGAAAGAAAACTATTTTTGAAAGCATCTGCAAAGCAGTTAAAAGAAATTCGAAAATTACGATGAATTTGCAAAAATTAGAAAATAATGATATTTCAATGAAACCTTTTTAAATGTGTAAGAAATTATTTGAAACCCACGTGTATTTTGACATGAAATGTTATGAAGATTTGAAAAATAAGTTTTGAGAGCTTGCAATTTTCAAAATTTTGACATTTACAATTGAAAAAGTTATCCTCCAAAATTCTCATAATATAAATCTTGCTTTTAGATTCTACTGTTTAATAACCATAGTAGTTTCGTCCGTGACCGTAACCATAGTTATTTCCTTGGTAACCGTATTGGGGGTAACCATTGTAGCCATTGTAACCATTATTTCTTTGGTAACCGTATTGAGGATAACCGTAGTTGTTGTATCCGTTTCCGGCATAACCGTAGTTGTTACCGTAGTAAGGAGCAGCATATCCTTGGTTGTATCTGACTCCGGTAGCGTGTACTGGAGCACTTCTAGCAATACCACCAGCAACACCAAGACCAACATGTTGTGGGGCCTTGACGGAAGCGTATTTGATACCAGAAGCATCTCGGATGGCGTTGTCGTGGGCAGCAGCAGTTTTACCATAGTATTGACCTTTAGCGTTGTGGGTAGCGTCATTGACGTTATCGTGGTTGGCTTTGTAAGCGTTGTATTGGTTACCAGAGTAATCTTTGTTGTAAGCGTTCTTGGCGGCGGCGTTTCTGTTAGCATAAGCATTATCTCGGACAGATTTAGCTTTTTGGGCAGCAGCAGCGTTGTTGTGGTAGTATTGGTTGTGGGCTTGCTTGGCAGCAGCGGCGGTATCTTTGTATTGGTTATTCTTGGCATTAGCACTGTAGACATCGTTGTTGAATTTCTTGGCATTGGCAGCTTTGTAAGCGGCGTTGTCGGCATAATCGTTGTCTAATCGTTTTCTATCAAAGTTGAGTCTTTCGTAGTTGTTTCCTGAAATGATAAATTAAATGATTAAATTAATTCAGCATTGATAGTGTGTTGATTCACAATGGTGAAAAAAGCTTAGCATCGTTTCGAGAATGGACGGGCCTTCATAAATGTTTCAAAGCTTACTGTTTACAGCTGATTTGCCGAATTAATACTACGAGGTAATCTCAAATATATGTATTCTTACCTCCGACTTTCTTGGAAGTGTGGAATTTCTTGACTGTTTTGCTGTTAGAGTTACTATCGTGAAGTTGGTGTTTAAGGTTTTCGTTGTTTCTGGCGGCAGCATATTTATCACTATTGGCAGCAGCGTTGAGATAGTTGGAAGCAGCATCGGCGTATTTTCTGGCAGCAGCTCCTTGGCTAGCAGCATTAGAGTGGGCAGCATTGTTGTGTCCGGCACCATCGGCTTTGTATAAACCGCTCTTGAAGTCTCCTTGTTCATGATCTCTGAGGTTGTCGTGTTTGGCGTATTTAGCACTATCGTGATCTTTATAGTATTGGTTTTCAGCAGCACCGAATTTACCATTCTTCAAAGCAGCACTATTGGCAGCAGCATCAGCGTGTTTAGCAGCATCCCCATAATAACCGTTATTCTTAGCAGCAACACCGTTGATACCACGACCGTAACCATGTCCGACTCCGACACCTCGTCCGTGACCGTATCCTCGTCCAGTTTGAGCAGCAGCTCCGGCATGAGCACCGTTTCTGGCAATAGCTCCTTGTCTTCCAAAAGCGTTATCCTTGGTAGCATAATCGTTGTATTTTCTGAGAGAAGAATCTTTGGCGTTGTCAGAGTATTTGCTCTTTCCAGCGACGGCATCGAGATCTTTGTGGTGAAGGCTGCTGTGTTGACCGGCTTTGTTGATTTTGTTGGCTTTATCGGCATAATCTTGGGCAGCGTAGGCTTTGTTGGCAGCAGCTTTGTTGAATTTGCTTTCTTGAATGGCATGAGCAGCATCGGCTTTCTTGGCAGAGTTGGCATGGTATCCTTGTTTGGCATCGTAGAATCGGGATTTGTCTCGGTAGTCATCTAATTTGTGGGCATCATTGTGGTTGGAAACTGAGTAGATACCATCTTCATCGGCGTTTTTGTTGAATTTCTTGTCGAAACCATAGTGGATGCTGTCTGAAAGAACATGAGCTTTGTTGTATCGGTTCTTGTTGGCAAAGTTGTTGTTGTAACCAGCTTTGTTGGCATTGTTCTTGTTGGCGTAATGGGCATTGGCATCATTGTAGTGGCTTTGTTTGTAGGCAGCGGCTCCACCTCGGGCAGCGTTTTCCTTGGTAGCAGCAGCTTGGTTGTTGTAAGCGTTGTTTTCATGAGCGGATTTAGCAGCAGCAGAACCAGCAGCTTGGTTGTAGACGTTGTTCTTAGCGTATTGTTGTTGTCCGGCATTACCATAAACGTTGTCTTTTTTGGCGTATTTTCTGTAATCTCCATGTCCAGCTACTTGACCGTAAGCACCATTATGGTGGTTATCAATACCAGCGGCATTGTATCCGGTTCCATAAACGTTCTTCTTACCATAACCAATCTGAGCGACGGCAACGGCTACGCAAAGGACAGCCACAGAGGCAAAAAGAAGCTGAAAAGACAAAAGATAAGAGTTAGAAATCGTTATACTGTACTTGTATAAGGGAGCAAACCATTACCTTGTTCCATGCAGTCAAATGTGCAACACTGTGAAGGCAAGAAGCAAGCCACTCAAAGCGATTATTAGTCGGCATCGGACCAGTAGAAAAGTTTCATGATATGCATACGCTGGGATGACTTCTGAATCTCTTACGAACAAACAGTGTTCGAGAGTAAGACATGGTTGTTATCAGCTTAGCCACTGTAAACTACTGTTCACTTACCTTCATTTTGAAATGAGATTTCTTGAACTGTATCAGCAACAACTACCTTCTGTGACTGTAGGAGAGAGGAGAAGGGAAGGATGAGAGTGAAGACTGATGGATTTTCCTCGACTTATATACCAAACTTTTACCAAACTCATAAAATTTTAACTACCCTGAGCGAACCTCAATATCTTACCCGAGCTCATAAAATATGGAAATTTGGCCTTTGAAATAAGCGCAAGAAGTTATGAGGAGATTTTATTAAAATGAAATATGGTTTATGGAAGAACGAGTTATTGGTTTATTAGCAACACAGGACGTCCCTCAGATATTCATAGTCCTAATTAAAATTAATATTTCTTAATATTAATGAGAACATTTCAATTTAATTCTCATATTTAATAAATAAGCCTGATTTTATTTGTGTGAATATATGAAAAATTTAATTTAATATACCATTTGTGGTTTCGCACCCCCCCCCCCCCCTCTCCTTTCCCAGACAATCTGGAACAACATTCAGTTGGGATTATTTAGGATAAACTATTATATTCAAATTGTATTGTTGTATGAAAAACTGTATTGACAAAGGCATTGTTTTTGTGAACGGGAATTGTTTAGGTTTTTTAACTGGAACCGAGGCGGTCAAACAATGGACACGCAAACAAGTATGACTCTTTTTGAGTTTATTTTGGCTTCTGTATGTGTCTTACTACTTAGTAACTAGAAAAACTGGCTCTCTTTTTCATTTTTAGTTCTATATATCTTGTAATATCTAGAGATTGCGAGCACCGGCCAATGTTATGTTTTTGAGGCCTGGCCAACTGCTGAAATTTTTCGATTAGAAATAGAGAGTTGACTTTCGATAGCCTTTTTACATTATGACCTACCATTTTTTTCTAAACCAAGTCCGCAATTTGATCATTTTGGTCAGAGCCCATCCATGTTTTTAGCTATTTTGTGATGATTCGGTCAATTTTAATACATTCTTTTGCTTTTGACAAAATTTGAAGATGCTACCCCAGACCCTTCTCCCTAAATTTGCTTTACGGCAATTTTACACCCTTTATAATTCGTAAGAGTGGAGAGTATGCATCAAGATCTGGCTGCTTCAGCTTAAAACAACCAGATTTTCATTCCGTACTATTGATGAGTAAGGTCGTAAATCATCGTTATTACGCAGTATGTTATCATTTCATCCCTCATTAGGCAATCACGGTAATCAATTTCTAAAAGGAATATAACAATAGTCTATATATAATTTCAATATGAAAATAACTTCATAGAAAAAGCCCCACGAAAAACATCTAAATAAATTTAGCAAATGAGAATTTTCGAAACCAAGAGATGTTTGAAATTTGTTTTATTTTAATAAAAAGACACATTTTCTAACATTGAAAAACCAACACGTTCTTGCGTTAACCATTGCCTGTTGTAGCCCAAATGGAAAATATTGGCAGCCTGAAGGATTTTAGTTGACTGTTTACGTGAATAAATAGGTTTATGTATTGATTTATGCTTTTTTTTAATCTTGGATCTATTGGTAGGTTAGTCGGTAGAGGCTTGGTCACCTACCTACCGTTATATAAATTGTATATCATGATTTGCGAACAGTTCTGGTTCATAAATATACGATGTACCATGAAGTCAGGGGAAATGTTCGGGGGAGGGGGTTGTAGAAAGGTAGCCAAATCAGTGTCTAACATTTTTGTGATAGTTATGTCCCTTGAATGTGAAATTTGAAATATGTGATATACTTGTTGACGAAGTTGTTGTGCTTAACATGACTAAATTGGAATTTTTAGTAACTTCTATCCTTGTTTGTCTGGGATACTAAAACGATAACATAGTTAAGATTTATACATTGGCTTTATCAAAATGCCGTCTCTGTGGTGTGTTTTTCTGTTTGGCTCTCGTTATAAAATTGCCCTCTCCAGTGCGACTCAAAGAATTTCGAGTACTCTTGAAACCTCCATATTCAGTCCTAATGCTAAACCAAATACTGACGATGTAGGCAATATACACGGTAGATAGCTGACCAGTTAACGTCCGCTTCCAGTGGGACTGTTGGTTTGGTAGTTGAGAAAGCAGTGTACTGTAGCTATTTGATATTTATATTGTTTCACATTTTAAGGCGATATAAACATGTCAGATTCGATGATTTTTATTTGAAATCCAATTAAACAGCTGGTTCGAGGGTTTCATAGTCCCGGACCGTATAAATTACTAGTTTATCTAGGTCAAAAGGTCGCCGCCGTCTAGACTCCCCTGCTGATACCTGCATCCAGGATCAAGTTTTATTACGCTGGTAGGCCAATATCAATATGATTTTATGTCATTGGTATGCATTGATATACAATTTGAACGTTGCAATTAATTCACTCTTACAATTAAAACATCAAAACCAGCTTCTTCTGTAAAGAAAATGGTATCCTTCTACAGGACAGTGTTTTGTCTGATATTTTCAAATATTTGATATAACTGGGGCGTAATACATGTGTTAGATTGACTTTGGTTTCATAGATTTATAAGGCTTTGTCATTTTGCATTGCCTTCTCGCTAATGGAGGGAGGAGGGTGTCAAGGTTTGATCATGCTACAGGTCGATATATCATCCTCCAAATTTACAACATTATTTCGTCCTGAAGCATGTCGGAAGAGCTGATACGATAAATCGTATGGTACGATAAATCGACGACTAGTCTACTCTAGGACTAGAGCCAGGTTGTGCATGATAATCCCTAAAGGATATCGATAAAGGTTTGAGAATGCTGTTTTCCTGGAAAAATATAACCGATCATACACTGTATAAATACAAAATTTGTCTTCTGTAAAATATTATTTAAAATTGGCAATTCAATATATTGAATATATCAGTGTAAAATACACAAGAAGGTGGGCGTCAATGGAATATTTTCGTATTATTAATAAGCTGCAATGTCGGCGTAGTTTGTAGTACAGTAGAAGTAGCGAAAATAGAGGGTGTGTCCAGAATGGGCCTTTGTCTGATTTTAATATTACGTCCCCAGTAAACTGAAAATAATCACGTAGGAGTGGGTGCGGGGCGTATAGGAATACAACAAATATTGTCGTCACTCCGGGGCCATTATCAACATTTAACGATCCAATACTACCAATATCATAACGTCTTCAATCTTATCTACCTGGCAGAAACTGTCTGGAAATGACGAACCTCAACAATCTTTCATACAGAGTTGTCGTTCCTTGCAGACTTTAACATGTGTATGCAAAGAACGGCAACTCTGCATGAGAGAATGTAACTCGCATTGTTTGTATGTTGATTTCAGGAAAATTGGACGTCCAGAAAAATGACGGTGACTTAAACTAATTATCCTTTATCTGCTGTTGTGTCTAATATTTCGGTAATAGGTAGAAAGAGGTGTGCAGATGGCATCATATATCCATTCATTTATTAATTTATTTATTGTGATACTTGTATTCTTTCGATATTAGATGTTACTCCGAAAAAGATGGTTTACCAAGATATTTGATCGTTATAATGGAAATAATGTTGGGATCGGGATCTAGAAATGCAGACCACTTTATCATATGCCATAACTCATCCGGCAACGCGGTGAACTACTGCAAAATGACGGTTTACAGGGAATGTATGTCTGTAGGGGAATAGGTAACTAAAAGATAGCTGCATGGAGTGGGGGGGGGGGGGGGTGATCTGAAGCTTCTTGTTAGCAATATATTGTACTTATATTGTGTTTGAAATGGAGCTTCATGTCTTCCTTTTGCTATATTGGGATACATTGAATGTGACGTGTCATCAAATTGCCTTCGCTTTTCCAACCTTCGGGGAAGCTTAAACTTCGTTTCAAACGGAACCTCTGTTTATTGTGCTATTACACCTACGAAATTTTGCCCATAACCTACAGCGTTGATAACGTGGTTGGGATAAAACAATGACGAAATAACATTTTGATAATATATTTCATTTTCAATAAATTATTATCACATAACTATCACCACAAATAAATAAATAAATAAATAACTTCAAGATTTAAAGACAATTTTCAACTATATAACATATACAACGTACAACAAAAGTATTCATTTTCGTCAATGGTTTACAATAATCAAATTATTCTTATCAGCCTTTTTCTCAACAACCTGAAGAATTTTCTAGTGGGCACTATGATTTATGTCTAAATCTGGAACATCTTATGTGAAGATTTAGAAAATTTTTCTAAGTCATCAATCACAACAGCTTTGTCTTTCGAAATTTTAAATCTAAATCGAGTCTTAATATTCAAAGTTTTTCTTACAGATTCAAACTCTTTGAATTTGAATGCTAATTGGTACTTATTATTGTTTCCTTCGGGTCACTTAATACATGTGCATTCAAATGAATTAAGTTACCGTCATAAAAAATTTTAACATTACAAAAATGAAACGGAATTTAGGATCTTAATCTGGATTACTGTAAATTAGAAATAAAATTCAAAGTTTCTAAGACTGAAAACCTTGTATATAATTTCTGTATGTTCTGACTGAATATATGGACGAAATAACAAGAATCGTTAACGGATATAGTGTCTGTTCAGATTTATCATTTTTTGTTATCGTTCTAAAATCATTTTAGACTTGTTAATTAATAATAGAGAGAGTTATCCGTTTTTTATAAAAAAAAATTCATAAAAAAATTTTCAGTATCAAACTTTTCACAATAAAGTTCAGTTATAACTTTCAGACTGTAAGTTATTCAAAATATATGGAGGAAATAGGTGGAAACTTTCACTTAAAAATTTTACAGTTTTTTACATTTCAAAAGCAAAATTTTTGTTTATGATTATTTACCACCATGACGTTGAATATGTTGTAAAGTGATTTAATATTGTTGTACTTTGTCTAATATACCATTGCTTTCATTACCAATAACATCACGACTTTTTAAACCGGAAATACCAGTAGCTTGCTGAATAAATGGTTTACTTCCGACATTAGACACAACTCCGCTGAAATAATAAATTAGTATTAGTTTTTAGCAATGAAACTTGAATCTGAATCCAGTTGAGGCAAACCTCACAAGGAGCATTCGCAAATGCAAATTTCGGTGCCGTTGAAAAAAGTCCGTAGCAATAACTGCTCTCCACTGCATTACGTTTGTTCTTTATTCAGTGATACATACAGAAACAAAATCATTAGCCCCGTATAAGTCTTAAGTCTTATATCAAGTCATACGGGAGCATCTATTTTTTCAGGAAATGCTGGTCGTGAGACGGCAGAACTTATGAGAATCGACGATACCTCAAAGAAGGTAGATTTCAAAAAACCATAATCACGGGCAAACATACCCTGAGGTGCATAAGGTTTTACACGAGTGTGATCCTGCCCACTAATCATGCTGTAGAATCAACTTACCTAATATTTTTTTTATCAAGAAGTGAAATTATTCAACTCACCTATTAAACTTGTGGGCACCATTATTAAGCCGTCCCTCGTTGTAGATGTGTCCATTCCCTCTTCCACCTTGGATATTTTGGTTTCCGTTTTTGAATTGGTTGGTTCGGCCTACTGGCTGGAATCTTTTGTTTGCTGGTGCATTGAATTTGATGTTTCTTTGGTTAACTCGGTTTGGGATTCTGAAATTTTGTCCCTTTTGGGTTGGAATGACGGTGTTTCCATGGACCTTATTTCTTATTAATCCATTATTGGCTACCTTTTGTCCCACCAAACCATTGTCTCCATGGACACCAGTGTTTAATGGTACGATTTCGTGCTGGTTGGTGTTGAAGCCAGATCCAAATTTATCATCGCTGAAGGATCCAAAGCTGTTTTTGTTGTTGAACGCAGGGCTGGCAAAAGCATCGTGAGTATCAAAACCAATATTGGCGTGTTGACCATCAAGGTTCATCTTACCGATACTACCATGTCCGTTGTTGAAGTTGGTGTTTCCAACATATCCATTTCGTCTTCCGATGTTCATTGGCCCATGGATATTACTCAAATGCTGATTATTTAATCCTCCGTTGATCCTGCCGTTAACGGATTTAGCGAAGCCATTTTTATTCGAGTTGACGAAGTTTCCTCCTTTTAATCCATTATTAAATTGGCCACCAATATTGGATTGGAATCCATGATTGATACCATTGTTGATGCGGGAATGGACAGATTTGCCGAATCCTCGGCCTGGCATCTGGCTTCTAATGACATTTCTACTGAACTGGTTACTGGAATCGCCAATACCACGGAAACTTCCAGCAATACTGTGTTCTGCTCCCAGACCACTGTCACCATTGTAATCATTACCCCGCACATTTCCTTGTACAAGACCATTATTTTTACCAAAATTGCCTACAATACCATTAGAGTGCTGGACAAAGTTGCCAACGATTCTGTCTTTGCCAGAAACAAACTGATTTTTTTCATCATTGCCTTGGAAATGGTTTCCAACAATACCATTATTGCCTTGGTAACCATTGTCTCCAACAAAACCATTATTTCCATGGAAATTATTCTCAACTATACCATTATTGCCGTTGTAACCATTGTCACCAACAATACCATTATTACCATGGAAATTACCGCCAACAATGCCGTTATTGTTGATTTTATTTCCAACAATACCATTATTGTCATGGAAACTATTTCGGATATTTCCATGGAAATTATTGCCTTTAATGCCACTATTAATTTGGATTTTATTTCCAACAACATCATTGCCATGGAAACCATTCTGACCAACAATACCATTATTGCTGTTGTAACCATTGTCATTAACAATACCATTATTGCCATGGAAACCATTCTGACCAACAATGCCATTATTGCCATGGAAATTATCCTGACCAACAATACCATGATTGCCATGGAAACCATTCTGACCATCAATACCATTATCGCCATGGAAATTATTCTGACCAACAATACCATTATTGCCATGAACACCCTTGTGTCCAACAATACCATTATTGCCACGGAAACCCTTGTGTCCAACAATACCATTATTGCCATGGAAACCATTCTGACCTATAATACCATTATTGCCATGGAAACCATTCTGACCTATAATACCATTATTGCCATGGAAACCATTCTGACCTATAATACCATTATTGCCATGGAAACCATCCTGGCCTATAATACCATTATTGCCATGGAAACCATTCTGACCTATAATACCATTATTGCCATGGAAACCATTCTGACGTATAATACCATTGTTTCCATGGAAATCGTTTCCATTGCCAGCAAATTTACCATTTCCAACTAAATCTCGTTGAGGAGAAATGGCATTTTGGGGTGCGCTAGCGTGTTGAAAACTTCCGGAATTGAAGCTGTTTCCCTGGTAACCATTGTTAAGTCTTTGAGAACCAGCTACTGTACCTCGGAAACCAACGATTGATTTACCATTGTTATTGTGTACAGCATCATTACCATTATGGATACCACGAGCAATACCATCATTGTTACCATTGAAACCGACTTGTTGAGCGATAGCGATGGTAACTGATGCGAAGAGGTAAAAAAGCGAAAATGATCTTGCAGAAGCCTGAAAAATTTTAAAAGAAATTTAAAAGCAAAAATACTAGACATGCCCTGTGTACTGCCAAACGAAAGCGGAAAAATATGTCACTCCTTTTTCTCCAGATCTTTTTTGACCCTATTTTCGTGACTCTCTTAATCCGTTAAGATAAGCGTGTGGTTAACGAGGTGGTACATTGTATTCTCTTTAAAAATCATATACCACTACAACATTTATCATGTCGGATTCCTTATCCAAAAAAAAATTGTCGAATTTGTCCAGATACTGTTGCATTTGATAACAGACGTACCTAATATCAAATGTCATATCTGAACGTACCACGGATGCTGGACTTAAGCTCTAACAGAAAGGGCCAGCAAAACGATTACTGATAGTGCAATATTTCTGTAAATTTCTGATTCATTCTTACTATCTTACGGATATATACGAACACTTACCATATTTTCAGATGAATGGCTTGCGACCAACTGGTGAATATTCTGATTTCAATTCGCTTATAAAGAACCTGTCAAAACGGATTATGTAAATTGGATTTTAAATATCAATAACTTTTTACCTTGTTTCACATTAGCAACCATCTTGCTGATGTTAATTTTAAAATAACTCCGTCAAATTCGTGACATCTTTGCGGGCATCCAGTTGTTTTAAGGAGAATTTTGTTTGAAAAAATCAAATAAATGTCAGAGTTTGACAAATCAGTTTAATTTTAATTTGTTTAATCCCCGTGATAAATTCTGATTTATGTATTAAAAGCATTTAAAATTCAATTTTTAAATATCGCCCATTCGTTGTTCGGAGTTTTGATTGCAACCCCGTATCTGTCTATGTTTGTTTATTTTCGAAAGACATCTGGAAAGCATAAGATGATTAGGACTTGAACGTCCTACTTTTCTGCCTTTGGTTACGCTTATGATAAGGAATAGCATACCCCTTTTCGATTCTTTAATGTCAACAGACTGAAGAAGTTTTTTTCCATGGCTCTTTAGAATAATTTGCTTACAAAGTGGCGAGTTATTGAAATATATACCATGTACACTTAAACTACATTCTTAATTTGTCATTGCCTAATGACATTTAAACAACTTTCCATGACTGCCAGATCGTATTTGCCGTGGCATCTGAAAACGGCAAAACCTTTCAAATTTTAACTGAATATGAAGTTCATATTATGAACATTTGGCGATTCTCACAAGAAAAACTCGATACATGTATTTTGTAAGTTTATTAAAAGAATACAACATACTCCTAATAATACATCCTAACTTGATGATGTATCGAACTCTGATTGGCCAGCTTTGCTTACATCACTTTTTTAAGCCAATCAAATTTAACAAAAATATAAAGACATATCGAAAAGCTTTATGAAAGAAACGTCTTCAGCATTCGAAGGTTTTACAGGCACAGTGAGTTGGTATTAGAATTTTATCATAAATAATCTTCTTGTCTCTGGGTAAAGCCTCACAGTAAGACCACACCCATAGGTCTCTAGTCTCTGCGGCACATTGAGTGACTCCATTAAAACCGTTACAATTGGAACATTTCTGTTTTCTGGAAAGTAAAAGAAGCTAGATATAAGTATTGTTTGTCACTTCAAAGATTTCTGTAGGGATAATCTCGTGATTTCGACCCTCAAGAGAAAAGCAGGAGCGAACAAGAGCATATTATTATTAATTGATCTTAGCGTGGGCGTCTAGATCTGTTTCGGATTTTGTAATCGGAACACTTACAGCTTTTTCCTTGCACCATTTAATTCCCCAGTCTCCAAGCAGCGTATGAAATTTCCTAATTGTTAATCTTCGATGCCCGAATCTGGCTTTGCCAAAAATTGTACGTACAAAAGCACCCATCTGTTTGAAAGTTTAATCTTACCTGCATTTCACGAAGTTAATATTTTGAACTTCGGGTTCTAAGACGAAACATTTTCCACCATAATTTTGGTATCTTTTAAGTTGAACCGTCTGAGAATCACACAAATGTTTTGGTGTCTTGAATCCACTAAAGCTGGTCTGAAAACTGAAATGTGAAATGATGAGGTATATATTTAATACCGTTTGTTTGGGATAGGTCTTTAGATATGAGTCTTTGTGTTCATTTGTGGACAAGAAACTGTGGACAGTCTGTAATCGAACTGCCTTGCAATGAGAGAATTATGCTCAGACCATGACAGAAGCTGATCTTCAATTTACAATGATTTCTGTAGCACATGATGCCACTTACTCACTTTTACTAACATCTAACTTGATAACGAAGCAAATATTCCTATTCATATATTAAATTGCAGGTCGGGAGTATATTTTTGATCATAATAGTTTAATCATCTTGGAATATTCGCATTTTTAAAGGAATCGTCAAGATTTTAACGACTATAACGCCAACTCGTGCATGGTCGGATAATTGAATTGGGCATAAAAGTAAATTGTTGAAAATTGCATTATATGCCTAATTCTTACCCAGACATTCTCTTCTTCCTAAATATTGGGATTCCTCCTGTTGGAAAATGGAAGCCATTGGTCACGATGTTGGCTTTGTCCTTGGTGTTAGAAATGGGAGAGCTGAAATCGAAGCCTTGGAAACCACCACCGTTTTGGTGTTTGGGGAATGAATTGGAATTAATGAAAGGTGACTGATAGTTGTTGGTTTGGAATGGTTGTGAAACTTCATTCCCGAACAAGATGTTTCTCTGATTGTTTCCATTATGGGTGCCAGCAAATGGGTTGATGACTTGACCCTGATGTGGTTTCAGCTGGGCAACTGTTTCTGATATTGTGTTGGTATTATCAGTATGTACATGTTGATTCATGGGATCACCAACCATCCTGTGTTTTCGGAGATACAGATCAAACATTTGGGTCGCCAAGTTGTTGCTTCTGAATGCATCTTCTACCATGTACCTGTAAAGACATCAAAATGTGTTTGTATTAGATGAAAGTTTACATTTTTGATGGACGTCCTTGGCATATTTGTATCGGGACCATTCATGGCTTGACATTGCATCATCTGTCTGAATTCTAAAGTGGAAATCGATGCTATCGGTGCAGAAGTACAAAGTTCTTTGACCATAGTACACCTTGAATAACGTTATTAGATTACAGCTGGACTCTTACTGGACTTACTTTGGATATCCGAAGTCATCATCTGTAAGATGTAATGTGTCTGTATCGTCAGCGATAGAGATGGAGCAAGACACTCGACCTGTAGGATCGTGGAAGGAGGTCTGTTGGACTGGTAGGGCAACGAGAGGTGACGCCTTGAAAGCTGGTGGTGTTGGTTTAATTTGGTGATTGTTGTGTTCTGTAGTATTGTGGTGTTGGCCCAAAACTAATTGAACCAAAACACTGATTACTACATAGTGTATCTAAAATAGAAATAAAGGAGGCGTTTGAAAACTGCAATAAAACCTTTACTAGATATCAATATCATTGAATTTGAATTGCAAGATTGTAAGTACAGTGGTGTAACCTATTTTCGTGGATATAAGGATTCAACACCGAATTTCGTCAAAAAAGGAAAAAAAAATTATGTCTTAGAGGTTTCCTCAGATATTCTACCAAATAATTAAAATTGGTTTATTTCGATTTCCTTTACGAATCCTTCACTTTGACCCATATTTCATGAGCAACCAACTCGGCAACGGTGGCAGAATGTCTCACCTATTTTCATGTACAATGTTTGATCTATAAATAAGTCTAGAAAAACACGTTGTATGGATACCGGGTGGTATAATTAACTTCTCTTAGCATTTATCTTTAATATCAATTCATTATAATTAGTGACAATTCCTTCAAAGAACCACGATTTAAAAAAAAAATAGTGACTGACAAAATAAGATACGTAGTGTGATTTATTGCTGAAAGTCACTGAAACAACATAAGAATATGGTCCACTTTGTGTTTCATAGAAATTTTCTGCTGACACGGAATCGGCTAGTTGATCACGTGACTTCATTCGATTACCGCTTGGGAAGTTGGAATTCCGATTACCGCTTGGGATTATAAGGAAATTCGGCCGATAAAAAATGGTGACGTTTGGTATTAAGTGAAATCCGCCATTTTGTATTTGTCAAAGTATACATTATTACACTTTACCTTTCTTGAAACTACTGGATTCATTCTACTAGCTGATATTGTAGAGAAAACCCATGTTTATCAAAACAAACTAATGCGGAGGTCGCTCATGTAAATTATTAATCCTTTCCGGAAATCCACGAATAATAGGTTACCACGAAATTAGGTTACTTGTCTGTACTAATGTTTTGGAGATGTTGCAAAACAAAATCCTAACGATTAGCGAAACCACTGGCCATGTTGCTACCATGAGGGAAATGGGAACCCATGTCACCTTCCTCCCATCGACATTTTCATTCACTTATAAAGTTAGTCAAATCATCACCAGATACCAGACTAGGTTGGATTATTAGGAAATACAATGTGAATGAATGAGTGTATGTAAGAATGCTATTGAATGGGAGAATTACGTGAATATTGCTTTCTGAGCTACTTTATTGGCATTATTAACTCAACAATTTCCTTACGACTTATTTTAACAATTTGATTAAATTGCGTCTTCATAATATCAAGCTATACGAAATTCGTCTTACTGCAGTTGAAAATAGCTTAACATTGAGAAGATCGCACGAGAGTACCATCACTATCTTACTTATACTTCATCGACTTCAGAGGTGACATTACTGGACTTACATAACGTGGATACGAATGCAGTTAGACAAGCGAAAAACGTCAAATTATGACCATAAATCCGAGACATCTCGAGACATTATCAACCTGTTCCGAGTCATCAATTACGTAAAAGAACAATGGTGTGCTAAAGAGAATGTGTCACCCATTTATTACCTAATAAAACAGTAGTTAAGCAATAGTGAAATCTGGTGCATCATTAGTATCAACAAAAACAAGTCCCTTGGTGAAAAGACAGTTCGGTAATGATGCAAACGTTTACCACAATAAGGATTTAATGTGTAATTTTTAACTGTAAGCTATTTTAAATCGTTATGATATGGACAAAGCGGCAGATAATGCAGCAAAGCGAGAGAGCTCTCTCAATTGTTTTGTATCTTTGCTGTTATAAGTGCTACTCTATATTCACCAGAATTTATAATGTAAAATTTTGAAACGCTATGTACAGTAACATTCTGGGCAGTGATTTCCTTCCTGAACCTTTAATTTTTTTCCTTATGTGCTTATCCCCACCTCTGTCAAAAGTTCGGATTTTGGTGGCTTGCTATAAAATTTTACTGGCCAGGCTTCATTCAGTATCTTAAATCTCAATGTTCCGCTTTCAACATATTTTCAAGTAAGCTAATGTTCCATGCAACACAAATACCGTTTTGTTTTGAATATCAACACAATAGAATAACATTACACAAGTCAATTAGAAACGCAAACAAACGTCGGCTCATTCGTCATTTAGAGAACGTGCTTGCTTTGACCGTGTGATGTTTAACATATTAGTTTCTTCAATCCAAATTCCAGAACTGTTTTCATTCGAAAAACCTGTCAGCAGAATGCGGCAATTAAGCACTCTAAACTTCTATAGAAAATACAAATATTAAACTAGAAAACTTACCATTGTAGCAGATCAAATGAAAGAATATGTTAAAAGAGTGAAAATTTATTGAATCTTGAGGGTCATTCTTAATAAATTATGAACGCTCTTAATAAATATGTAAAAATTGAGAAAATATGCATTATTAATTCTTCAGATCGCTCCGGGATGGACGCTTTGTCTAATATATCTGAAATTATGTCGCAAATTTTCTTACTATTTAATTGGTTTTAATAGGTTTAAATGCATATTAATGGAGTACACCAACCCTTAGCAACCTTTATACTCATTTTGTACTGGAAACTTTATAGATAACGTACGAGTTTCAAACGATTTAACGCTCATTAACGGTGAATTTATTGCAGAATGATTAGAAAGGACTTGGTGGTATATCTTCCCACGCCATTGTTTGAATTCAGTTACCGTGAATATATGCGGCAGATGAAAATCTTTTTCGGAAAGTCTTCAAAAACATTTAAGGCAGTGGTTTTCAATTAGTTTTGAATTTGTCCCCAATTCGTATCAACATGAAAACGATGTCCCTAAAAGGAAAACGTGAACGTCACAAAAAGTGTATAGGTTAGTCATAAGAGATGCTGTATATCTCGTAGTTGAATATTTTTTTCATAACCTGTGACACATCAAATTGCCCATAGAAAAGTGTAACATGTCCCTGTGGTTGAACAGCTACGAATTCGGATATCATTGGTAATATCAACGTTAGCTTCAAATTTCAACATAATCCCTGGTAATTTGACATTGGCACCGATTGGCTTTGGGGCCAAATACTTTACTCCAGGTTCTAGCATCTACGGCAATCTTAGAAGCAGTTCTCGTTGCAATTTGTATGTGTTAAACGCTACTGTGTACAACATCATGTAGCTCAAGTGAGGCAAAGACCCCCCATTACACTCAACCATTGGAAAATCGCATAAAAGCGTAAGCTGATGTCCCTTATTGGCCTATACTGCATTACATTTTCCACAAAGGTGTATGTACCAAATTCTTTTTTTTTTCAAAACGTTTATTTATAATATTTGGCAAGATATAAAGAACCTGTACACAAAAAAAATTAATATTTACATACATGTATATACTAATAAACAATAGAAATGCCAAACCACGGTTTTGAGAGCATCAATCTAAATCGTAGAGCTCATCCGTTACGAATAAAGCAAAGTTTCTAAGCGTTTAGTTGTCCTTCTCCTGTTCGGTCATCTAATTCGCCAATCACAAGAATTGATTTGGAATTTAATTTTTTAACCAATCACAGTACTGCATTCATAAATCATGGTCCCGCATTTCATAAATTAAAGTTCTGCACTTGATACATCATAGTACTACATTTCATAAATCATAGTTCTAAATTTCAGTCTCGCAAACCTCAGCCACCACACCACCCCCAGCCCTGTGAATGGTCAATGGGCACATTGCTTTCGACACTCTCAGCCATTTGCTAGATAAGCCCTTGCTCGTAGAGAGGTTGTACCTTAAGGAGAAATGAAGCAAAGATACAAAATACACAATTGCTAATATACAAATACTAATGCTAAATATACAAAGAACGGCGTTTTGATAATTTCATTCCATATAAAAACGTCTATTTATAGTTTAAATTTCAAAATTAAGCAATGTAATACATCGAAACGAAATATTTCACGTAACTAAATAAACACATTACATAATCATGTCAGTATGACCCTGAGATCAGTAACACTGCGAACTTTAGACATACCGAAATGTAATAAAACTGCTATGATGAGAACATTTCAATTTCATTATTGTATTCCTGATGACGGTGCGAGAACCACATTGAAACGTTGAAGTAATAAATATTCTAGAAGTATCGATCCATAAATTGTCTTATTTATTTCAATATACAGCTTCTTTACTATGGAATTCATTATCACAAACTGTAAAACATAATCCTTCTTTATATACATTTAAACAAGAACTGAAGAAGTTTGTTCTTACTGAGAATAATAAGTAATTATTGTAATAACATTTATAACCATTCCTTTTGTTTTCTCGCCATTTCATTTTACTTAAAAAAAAACTATAATCATATATATCATTATAAGAAACACAGTGTTTACATTTTAATATTTTTCACCACATCCATGTTACATTGTAAATGTATATATGTTTTATGAAACTTTCTGTGTTTATATTACTTAGTATATAATTGGTAGTTTCGTGGGGAAACATAGTGGTTACATTTTCATATTTCTTTCCTCATCCATGTTACATTGTAAATGGACATATGTTTTATGTTATTTTCAGTGATTTTATTCTTTCTGTAATCTTGTATATAATATGTTGTTTAGTGGGACCTATGGAAAATTAGACTTTTGTCTAAATGGGTTGCCAAAATAAAGTTATTAATATACTTTGAGTACAAAAACCATAGTTTCCATAAGTTACTTAATACAAGTTACCTCCCTTGAGATAGGAAATAAATTAAGTAATCTTGATACAAAAAACACAGTTTCGACATTTTAACTAATCTTGTAATAAACCAGCTGGTGATTAGTGACCTACTATTAAAATACACAAAAATTCAATACGAGTTACATCCCTTATGAAATTGATCAAAATAAATATTGGATATATATATAAAACTGCACAGTTTAAGCAATTGACAGTCTGGTTATCAACACGTTATGACTAGTGACTTAAGCTTAAATAACACTGAATTCCAATACAATTCTCACTTGACATCCGAAATTGGCTATCAATTCGCTGTTTATTAGTGACCTACTTTAAAATTCAATACAAGTTACTTCCCTTAGATGCGAAATATATAATTATGTACTTAATAAACAGTTGCTCTATATTGTTACAGACGAACGGTACGTGTTACAAACTTAAAAGCATACTATCTCTTAGAATGGACATAAAATTTAACGTCTCAAACTTAGTGTTTATATTCATCAGTTCGACTTGCCTCCTAAAGAGTAGAATCTCTGTATATGATAATATAACCATTAAACTAAATAATTATATGCTTCTAGGCATGTTTCAAAATTACTTAGTTTAATAAATTATTTCTTAGTTGTCTGGGTTTATTGGATAATAGAGTCCACTGATGAACAATGACTGCTTTTAATTAAGTTTCACAATTTCAATTTCTTGGTCATCCTTAGAGGTAGCATACTTATAAATAAAAATATGAAAGGTGAATATTGCAGAGATCTAAAAATATGATACAGGGCGTATAAAAGCGAAAGTTAATAAATATTCAATATTCAAATAGAATTTATAGGTTTATATAAAACATGATATGTATTTTAATTCGTAAGATTATCACATGCCCGTTATACCCTAGTTCAATGGAACGACAAGGCACCTTCCGAGAGTATACTGTACTTCACTTATGATTTTCTCTTTAACGACAACGCGCTGCACGGCACAGCGTCAACGCAAATCATCAATTAGTAGCACAGCACAGCGCCAATCGTGAACGCAAACGTTTAAAAAAAAAAGCTGAAATTTAACAAAGACGTCAATGGCATACTTTTAAGTGTTATGCCATTAATTCTTCGAGTTCCAAAACACACAAAATTGCGTTAATATTATCAGTAAGCTATTTGCAGCCTCGTCGTCAGGAATGAATTGGTGCTGGGGCTCAGATTTTATACTCAATAAATTTGAAGAATTAATGGCCCAGAAAACTCATTTCTGACAATTTTGAAAAAACCAAAATCTATATCTTTTTAATTTTGTACAATGACACTGTCAATGAATCAATCTCTGCTGAACTGAAGAACGTTTTTCTGGGGCTTAATTCTCGCTTGCTGGGGTCCAGCCCCCACGGACCACACCCTAACGACGGGGCTGGCTATTTTGAGTGGAGCTTTACTTTTATGTAATTTTTCAAAGTTTGGGTTCATTTTGAATCGCAGTGCTGGAACTACTGGTTACCATATTCTTCTTTACCTAGTTACTTCTTATATAATGAATTAACTGAAAGATATAAAACATTAAAGTATTTGTATTCTTGATTAGATATCATGTGATGCATTTATCGATAGGAGCTGTATTGTGCCCTATTTTCACAAAAATGGGACCATGCTTTTCAGTGTTACCAAATATTTTCATTATTCAAGGGAAAGAACTTGTCCCTGAACATAAAACCAAACAGACCAGTCGTCGGTATAGTTTTGAATTGAGGGGGGAGAATTCAAATTTAAGAAGAAATTTCAGTCCGAAATGAGTTCAGACTTACCTTGATAATGCATATCCCGTTCCATTGTGCATAGTCGATTCTGGAAAAGTAAAACATGCATAATAATGTGGTGGTATCAATTTCTAAAAGACACGTACAAGTACTTTACATTATGGCACCAGCATGAGCACAAGTCGATGGAAAAAAGTAACTTTGAGATCGAAAAACGTCTGAGTACTATTTGTGTAATTCTGAATTGCCATACGATGTCTGTGGTTCCTGTAATCGCAAATGACATGAACAGATTAGGGCATCACTAAAATATCAGATGGTGACGTCATGATCTAGTATGTTTTTCTTGGAAATCTTGGATAAATCCTTAACCATTGAGCAACCATTGAGCTGATTCTATCACTAACTAGAATTTTAAATTCGAAAGCTTGAATAAGCCAAATCTTTAATTATTTGATACTTTTCTGTTATCATCAAACCATTAAGGCTTCATCCCCGGGTAACAACATAATAATATAAGTAAAACATTTAAAAGGCTTAAAAACAGTTTTCTTAACTTGAAACGATAGCATCGATTTTTCCCCATTCCCATTTTTAGTCAGACATCTGCGGTTCCAGTTATTCAACTAAAAACCAAGCTTTTTTGACGTCATCATCGTAAAGGACCTTACATTACATAGTATTGGCTGTTTTTGTGATAGTGTATTCATAAAACAGTTAGATTTAGTGGAATTGCAAGAACCTCGGACGTCTGGCTTAAAATTGGAACGGCGGATAAACGATGCTTTTTCCTATATAAAAAAAGTAAAGAAAACCTCTTTACAATCCCTTTAAGACGTGTGACCTTATACCTACCCTTCTCCTAAAGTTAATATTTGTTCTAACTACACGATGGTTTAAAGGCATAACTGGACGTGAATTCACCTCTAAAGCTAAATTAGGGTCGTTTTCCCTTCCGTCATATAATACACGTAAGGCAGAAAGCTGAAAAGACAATATTAAATGTGAACGAGTTTTACGTCCTAATTTACTACTGCACGCACATTATTGGACTAATGACGATGGGCGACAGTATGCAAGGGGGTTAAGCCTGTTTTGTTAAAATTGTACGATCCGTTGTTCATTTGGTTCTTCGTCCAAACGAAACAAGACAATTTTATGGATGGATACTTCTAAAATATTCATTTTCTCATACCACATCCATAAAATTGTCGTATTTATCTATAACCATGTCCTTGTGCATTGGGCCTATTCATACCATTGTAAAATAAAGAGTTTATCATTATTTTTATGAACTAGTGCTTCTAATATGCCATTGTTCCAAAAGCAGTAGTATTAGCATTTTTTTGATTAAGCTAATGTCATTGCCTTGGCGTATTACATTTCAATGTATTGGATTATCATGTCCTAACCCATAAAATTTACCCAATTTTGACTGCAGAATACGTGTTCTTCTTCCGATCGCAGTTGCCTACTTAAACATACCCTAGTTTCCTATCCACACAAAGTGCCACGATTAATACATTGCAATAGTTGGTAGAGCGTTTCAAGAAAATCGGTTGAGTTTAAAATTGTGTTGAAATGAGACAGGTTTTTACATTGACATATTACTACGTGTTCTGTTTCATTCTGTATTGTGTAAAGAAAGAAAATGAAATTATTTTAAATGTTGGGAAGTGACAAGAAAGAACTGGGAAATTTCTAATCAGAATTATCCAGAAAACAATCAAATTTTAAGATATACATTTTTGCTTTTTTATTGTTTTTATCCGATACGCCCCATTTTTTATTTGTTTAATGTTACATTAAAAAAATGTGTTAATAAATAAACCAAAAGTACTAACGATCCAAACCACAAAACGAAACCTGAAATCCTAGCAACATTTAGGCGAAACATTAGCAGCAGCTAATGAGCTTTTCACGTGAGGAATTATATCAATCTTAACTGAGTAAGGATTTCATAATGAAAATTGGCATTCGGTGTCTAGAAGAGCAAGTATACCTGGTTTGTTTGCCGACATTGCTGATCTATAAACGGACAGGCAATTCCGAAACTTCAAGGGAGGTAACTAATGAATATTTCATTTTAAAAATAAAAAGTCAACTAGCACGAGAGCAGAAGAGCAAGAACATGCTTACTCCTTTTGAATGCGTTGATAGCTACATCCGAACAACCATTAGCCTCATGCCTCATCTACGTCACTGATTCAAAGGAATTGGATGTATCATTTTTATGATAAAGAAACCATCTATGGGTTACTGCACTCGCCATCAATGCTCTGACGAAATTATTCTTTGTATTTTGTTCAGTAGAACAATAGCTACAAATGTTGCCATAATATATGCTTAATAATGAAATCAACTGAAGAGAGTGAGCTAGAAAAATATCAAACATTTCGTCGGAGCATAGATGGCATGTGTAGTAACCTGCACTTCAACCCGGAACATAGAAATTTTCTCAGTCTGAGATCCTCCGGTTAATAGACTGTATCAGATAAGATGCCGTATCACATCCTCTGTATTGTTACCGTTGTTACACATGCAATGTTAAATCAAATCGTATCGATTGAGACGTTCAAAGTGAAGGAAATGTTCAATAATTCAATAAGAAGACTATCACAACTTCCAATCTGTATAACCAAACCATAGCCAAATAATCAAAAATCACGGTAATTGCTGATATGACGGAAAGATCACATTAAATATTTTATTTGAAATTTGTCCCAAGTTTTTACGATGATTACTTTGTTATACGCCCACATTGTATTGCAGTGAATGTTGAATTGTAGACTAATCATACCACATGAACGTTATTATGTATTTGAAATCTCTGATATGGTTGAAAATCACGGTGACAGAGTTCCATCATGTCTTTCAAGCGTTTCTTACATTACCTTTTTCAGTGTTGGCGTATGTGTTATCTGTGGGCAATAATAAAGTAAGAAAAGTTATTATAGCAATACTAAATACGGTGAAAAGGTTAGAAAGTATAATCTAAGTTATTCAATCAAGAAAACCATTATTATTTGAATTTAGAACGTTATTACTGTCAGTGTGGGCGTATATGTCATTTGTAGGCAGCCATAAAGTAAGAAAAGTTATTAAAGCAATACTAAAAGGTCAGAAAGTATAATCTAAGTTATTCAATCAAGAAAACCGTTATTATTTGTTTTCTGAACGTTATTAAAGCTCCAGATTAGATTTCACCAATATTGGCATTCATAGAAATCACTGATGTAATAATTTCTCACATAAAAACATAAATCTAGTGGAAAAAAAAATTTAATACTGAAAATGTAAACAAGGTCTTGTTTGATTGGTCTGGAAATCGATTTCGACGGTTTATAAAATTGTTTGGTATGATTCGCCAGAGAATTGTAATTAGTTTGGTAAAATGACTCTAAATGAAGACGGTAGAGAAACGTTACAATCAAAAAGACGAGCAGTGAGTAAAGCCTCGGCTCTAATTGCTGCCAATTTCCTCCCTTACAATAAAACTAATCAAGTTTTCTCGCTTCTCAGTCGACAGAATCAACTTTGATTTGAATCCAAACTTACTCCACATTTCAATCGAATTGTTACAATTCCAATTGTATCAATAATTTGTCAGAAATTACTTGGCTAAAAGAAAAAAGTGTAATCTACTTCGTATCTTTTCTCTCATCAATACTGATTTTATACGCAACCGAGTCGGCCATGTTTATTGAATAAACGGCACGGCGGTCAGTTTATTGGCCTAGTAGAGACTTTCTCGTTCAGATTAAAATTCAGCTGAGTTGAAACAAGTTTTAAGTGGTTTATACTTTACCCAATAAAACCAGAAAATTGCCTAATTTGTATTGACTTTCTAAGGATGAGATCAAGCGATTTCCACAAATTAGATCTTGGATTTACGTCGGCTATTTCAACCTTTTATCACTCCACTTATAGGAAATGGAGACTTGTTTTGCTTCCGTTCCATTACGATACGTTTTAAAAGTAAAAGGTGTCGGAAAATGTTAGATATATTTTCCTTTACAAATTGCTCTTTTGTTCTTCCTTAACAGAATTTCGATCTATTTTTCAAAATTGCTTCTTTCGTTGGTGGCCTTGCCATTCCATGAACTGAATAAAATTGCGTCGGATAAGAATCTATTGTAGAGAAGAGATGAAGAAAGTTCTGAAGAAGATAGAGTAAAGGAAGTAGATAGGACTGGACGAGTAGACGAACAGGAGAGTGAGAGATCAATAATTAGAGATAAAGAGATAGGGGGCCGGGTGGGGGAGAGTAAGAAGGTAGAGGAAAGAAGAAAAGGAGTGATACAGGAAAAGAAATTGTTTTGGGTGGAGGGGGCACTCTCTTATATTTGAGATGTACTCAATGTACCTCCGTGCAATGCTTCGAATTACAGTACTCCGAAGACTTATTATGGTCATCTTTCATTTCTCAAACTGATTTGAAACTGTGATTATTGAAGGACTAAATTGGATTTGGAAAATTTTTTCATAAGTAGCCTCAGTGGTCAAATAAAATTACAGAGAATTCCTTCCCTTAATGCAAAACGTATGTAAAACGTTAGTTTTTATATTTTCATAGTTCATCAAAGTTTATAGAAACCGACGCGGGTTGTCTTTAATAAATTCTCGTGAAAAATATACAATGTTGATTTGATTTATTAAAAGTTTAATTGTGGCTTATCATGAGAAATATTGGATCGAGAAAAAAGGTTATTTTACTATTTTACTCGCTAACTGCGATGCGATAACGGTAATAATGAACCCAGGAACAAATGGAAATTGTTCAGAACTCGCAAACAAAGCGCCATCAATGGCAATGGTTGTAACAATAAAGCCTTGGAACAGATGGAACCTGTTCAGAACCTACAAATCGAGCTCAACCGAAGTCTTAATAGAAAGATATTTCAGTAATATTAACAATAATGCTTATGTTCTTTGATGAATGTATATTAAAATATGGACTATTTACCTGTTCTTTGGCTATTTTTATTGGTTTATTTAAAATAATCCAGGTAACTGTCTCCTGACAGCCGGGCTGAGTAAACGAGCCCTCGTAAGTCATGTAATGCTCAGTTTTAGGAAGAAGTCGTCCCAAATCTAGATGGTGTAACATTGCTGTTTGTTCTGAAAACAACAGAAAGTTGTCATTTTACAGTTAAAAAAAATATGCTTTAACTTCGAAGATGCATTCAAAAGAAAAACTTTAAACAGACTTTTATGTAGTCTTAGAATGGAATTCTTGTCCTCTTCGAATATCAGGAACCAAAGGCAATCAACCAAAAAACAAAAAAGATGAAAATAAAAGCTAATAATGCCAAAAGGCCATTTTATATCCCTTTTTACGACGTTTCGACAAAGATACTATTGTCTCCATTAAGCAATAATATTCTGACAAATTTTACAAAGTCTCTATTGGATAATTCTTAAATTACCTTTATAACGCAAGGCTTTCAACTCTTTTGATATCAGATGAAAAGGCTTATTTAGTTCTTTTCCTAACTGAAATAAAAAAAAAGAAACAGAGATGAAATCGAATTAGAGTTTAATTGACATGGAAACCATGGTTTTTCAGATGTGAAACAGATGTTATTAACTTAAAGTTATCAAATTAAAATTCAATTTGGATCAAAGAGTGTTCGCTGACAAATAAAAATATCTTGATCACTAGGCGAAAACCTACATGTTCTTCAACCTGGCAATTCTGAAAACAGCGTCTGTGCGTTATCAACACCAAGAGACAAGAGAAGTAGTATTTTGTTGTTGGAAGTCAAGTCGAAGGAAATGAAATGAAACGGAAATATAGATTCATTTATTAGACCCATTTTGTATGTACCCGTATGTATCTCATAGTTATTTTGAATTGTATACACACAACCTGTGGTTTATGCTGCTGTGACCAGTAACGAATTTATGTACATATGGCCATATCTTATTTTTTCAAAAGGTTCCACACCAATATCAATTTACATCCAAAAAGATAAAAGCTGGTGGCACAGCACCTTTATAACTAGTAATTCAATAAACTTGCAATGGTTCTTTAAAGGGATTGTAAAGAGTTTTCTTAAAAAAAATATGTGTATCTGGGACACTGATAGCATTAATTTGCACCATTACAATATTCATTCAGACGTCTGTGATTCCTACAATTCAACTAAGTATTTGATGACGTCACTCATCGTGAAGGGCCATATTATGTGATAAAGCATATTATTTTGCGACGTCATCAAACACTTAAGTTTAGTAGAATTGCAGGAACCACATACGTCTGGAAATTGGAATGGTGCAAATTGATGCTATCAGTGTCGCCGATCCACATTAAGTTTATAGAAAACCTCTTTACAATCCCTTTAAGAAGTTAATTCCGCACTTTGTTTGATCATAACCGCAAATTGTCTGGACAGTTCTTCCATTATCAAATTGATCTCTTGACCTGTTATTAATTGACTACACAGTGGTTAATTTTATTCTTAAATCCCTTTCTATTGTTCTTCATAAATTTAGTTAAGGGCATTAAATAAAATGGGATTATGACGAAGACGATTAATGACATGCTGTCTGTTTCATTTTATTATCTCATTAACATGCAGAGGAATATAACTTGTTAAGGGAGATTTTTCTATTTACATGATACCAATTTTGTTTTGCAGTTTTCTGTGGTTCCTTTAATCACTTAGCCCATATGTCGTCACAAATAATATCGAATACCCGTCGCCTTAAAGACTACTTTAAGTGAAATTGCAAGAAAATTTGAATGGTTCAGATCGATGTCCTCGATACACATTAAAAGTTAAGAAAACCTTTTTACAATTTCTTTAACATTTTCGACACACTTGATCGTTAAATGGTTTAAGTTAGTATTTCGAAATTCAAATTTTACCATCAAAACAGTCAATATTTGGGCTTCGTACCACCCAGCTAAGTCATCTAATATAGATGCAGGGATTAGAGCCCAAAATATCCAAGCTTCTCTTACCAGAACACCTAGTTACGAAGAGCCCATTGTATTGGATTCAATGTACGCCGTGTCTTCATGACAAAAATGTGTCCCTACCTCTATAAATACTGCTATAATCGTGTAACCCTTCACGCCTTTTAAAGCATAACTTGAATTTGGATAAAGGTCACTGTTGTACGCTAGTAGATGCATCTGAAAAATATGATAATTTGTTTTCAATAATTTTAGGTTTTACAATGGACGACATTGGCTGAATGTATTAATCAAAATAACACCGTAGAGCACTATCTGAAATTGGTAATGCTATCCTACTTCCTAACCATTGAATGGGTTCAAAGTATAATCCTGTAAACATGAAGACCTTTAGTGTTACCTTTCTAGCATTCACAATACTAGCATTCAATTTTTTCAATTCTACGTCCATGATGAGTGAGGTTTGCAGAGGCTATAGTTTATAATGCTTGTAAAAAGGGTGTTCAATTGAGCTGACATTAAAATACTCTGGTGGCTATATTGTAGGATTGTATTCAGTTACAAGTCGACATCCTTGGGGGTATATAATATTCCAGACTGGTTGGCATTTCAAAATAGTTACTTTGCCTGCCACTTCTCATTCCGCTCTGACTTTGATCATTGCAGCAGATGACGATAAAACGATTTGCTGGCCTAGTTAACTACCCAACAATTGACAGCAGATACAAATGATCAACTATAACTTTCGCCACAGGCAAACTGATTTAATAGAAAATCGTGATTTGTTCGGACAATTTCATTAGAGTCAATTTCTAAACGTAATGTGTCTGATCGCTTCGATTAATTTCGCTACGTTATCATATGGTTTTGTTCTCATTCTTATTCAGTGCCTGAAAAGGGAAAGAAGGTCTGGTCAATCAAGCAATACTTAAGCCACGATTAATGAAACCGTTTTTAAATTCAGCAAAGTAAGCACGACAGTATCTGCTTTAAGCCATCTCCTAAAAAGAAATTGTTTTTTTTATGTCGAGTGGAATACAATCCCATAGGTGTTTCTTTTTTACAAAATGGAAATGAATCAAATCACTGCTAATTGAAAAAATTACCAATGTTTGTATTAATTTGTCATATAGTTTCCCTTACAACTTCAGTTCAGCTACAAGCGTTACTTGTCAAAATAATTTTCCGCCATCAAGTACGGAAACAACCGTGTATTATAGTAAAAATTGAAATTCGTTTTGATAAATGTATCTTGGTTTTCTCTCTGTGATTAATGCATTGAGAATCAAAATAAAATTTTATTTCCAATATTAAATAGAAATAAAACCAGAAATTTGATATCGTGATATTAATCTTAAATAGATCTCGATCTGAATTCGACAGAATCAAACAACCACATCTTATCATTTCAACTCTACTAAATCTCTTCCTTTTAATTCGCTGCCTTCCAATCAATAAACCTAAATCAGAAATTTTGGTCAACCGTTGAAATTTGCCACTCGAATTTCATCAATGAGAATGTTTTTGTAGAGTAAATGGTCGAAATAAATCTTCGGCTGTATTAACGGGGATTAAAGTGACTGTAAAACGTCATCTTAACAACCCTGTTCTCTTCCGCCTCAAATCACATTTAATCACTCCCTTTAATTCCTTTTATCAAACAGGATGGTTCTTCCCAGAATGAATGGTTCTTAACATCTTGAATGAATGAGCGCATAAATGACCAACATTTGTTGGACATGGTCATGCAAATGATCTCAGGGTTTCATCGCACTAGCCGACTGCACCACAGTTCGCCCTCAATTGAATGAATGGACCAGGCACATAACACCGAGATTCCAACTCTCTAGCAGACTACGTCACAGGTCACCATCGTAATGAATGAACGAATGAATGAATAACCAACATTTGATCGACGCGACCAAGCAAATGACGCCGAGATTCCAGCGCTCTAGCCGACTGCAACACAGTTTGCCCTCGTAAGAATGAATAAATGAACGAATGAATAACCAACATTTGATCGACGCGACCAAGCAAATGAGGCTGAGATTCCAGAGCTCTAGCCGACTGCAACACAGTTTGCCCTCGTAAGAATGAATAAATGAACGAATGAATAACCAACATTTGATCGACGCGACCAAGCAAATGAGGCTGAGATTCCAGAGCTCTAGCCGACAGTACCAAAGTCCATCCTCATGGATGAAAAAAGAAAGTAATGACGATCATTGGCTTTACATAACGAAGCTATTAACGTCAATATACCAACAATATGGCTGATTGTACCAGCCAACAACGACAGTCAACGACGCTATAGTTCAAACTTCGCTGAAGCCAAGGTTCCAACGCTGTAGCAAGCTATACCACAGTCCTCGAAATGAATGAGTCCAAAGGGAATATTGGAATCTTGTCTCTGAAATAAATTGCTGCACCAAGTCATGAATCGTAGTTGTCCTATTGAATCACAAAATGCTACTTAAAACACTAACCTTAAAAATTGGCAAGGATACAAGAAAATGAAGTAATCGAAAAAATCTGATAATTTTTTGTTAGAAAATTTATCTTTTCTCAAAGCAATATTTCAAACGATTGTCAAAAGACTCATTTTTGTCTTTGAAATATTAACTTTTGTTAAGAGACAATATGATCTTTCAGCTTATTGTTTCAAAGAACGCCACCTTTATCATGGAACAAATTCCCACTAATAACAAAGGTCATTTGTGTCTCTTCCTTATCGTTTAAGTAATAGAAAAAAATTCTTTGAAATTGTGGATATTTCCATGATGTTGATAACATTAATCAGATCAAGAAAGAAAATTCAATAATCGTAATGACATCTGAAATTATCATCACATTTTTTTTTAGGAAAATGACGCAGTTTCTAACAATATATCTTTAATATGAAACAATTTGATATTTTACAAGACACGAACTCAGTCTTATTAAAATAAGACCCAAAAATTACTTCATTTTTTCTTTCACTTTTAAGTCTAATATAGCCACTTCAGTTAGGGTCTAAAGACGAGCCACTTGAACATTCGTCTAAATAACGACATAACCAGATGGATCCTGCTTTAACCAATCAAATTCCTTCACTCTCTCACAAAATTCCAGCGCTAAAGAGGGCAGAAATCTCATTAAAGCAGTGGTCATCAGGCTAGGCCAAAAGGTCATTTTGACAAATGTTCAAGAGGCCCGTCATTAGACCCTAACTGAAGTAGATATATTAAAAATAAAAGCTTATAAAAATCTGAACGATAGTTTGGTCTAATTTTGATCAGACCTCATCGTAAACCGCAAGGATTTTTGGGAGGAATTACATGAACCACTGACTTCGGAAAGGAATGACACCTGATTTCTTCAATGCTCCTTTTTTTCTTATTAGAGGACCATCCTTCACTATTTACAGATAAATCTGGCAAGGAAATATTTCGACTGATTCGTCAACATTGGCAGAAAAACTGTAACAGCTAAAGCCCACGAAAAGACATCATCGTGTACAGAGAATCGAGTATTGAATAGTAAATGTATTAATACGGTTCAAGGATTAATGTATCATTGCGGGAAATATTTATCTTCAGAATTAATAAAATCAAACATTGAAGTGGTATTTAGGAGAGAAGTGGATGGTATTTAGTGGGGGTTATGAGAGGTGATCGATCCAATCAAGCCTCGTTCACACCAGCTATCTGTTATTGGCCAGAGAAATAAAACCGTTCATTTTGACCAGTAGGTTGCTGGTGAGCGTTTACAATTCTTTACTGATTCATCTACACGTCAGCTGTTTCTTATTGGTCGGAATAATGAAACCTATATCTTCGATCAGTTGGTTGACGGTTTACTTTCCACAGGATTCGTGACATCTGCCCAATGTGTCACCCATTCCAAAAGAGTATAATATAAAAGTAGATTTCATGTTATTCATTTTATTGCATAGTGTGCGCTTGGAAATACAAAGCTGCATCTTCTATACATATCCAGTACAGTTCATATACAGGGACGATTAATATCTGGAATCGTCCTGGATTAGCAGAAAGGGCTTTGTTCGACGTTATGATTATACTCTGCATACAAAGGCCATGGGCTGTTACAATTATTTACACTGGTACAAACTATTTGACAAATTAGTTGAACCCGTGGATCAATTAGATTTGTTGATCAGATAGATTACACTGCCCTTTATTTATTTACCAATAAAAACTAATTAAACGTTGTTGATAGTTCAGCTTGAAGCGACCAATATCTACAACCCTAGTATAATGAATTAATCATTGTGACGGGCACTGAGATATAAATTGAGATGGGTTTACAGACTAAAAGTACAAACTTCTTACAGTTGTATACCCAATTATGAAGTTATGATAAGAATTGACCAATTGAAATTGCTAAGGAACAAAACATTACGAGTCAAAATATTACAATGACATTCCCATTACAACTAACGGTTCCGCATATCGCATCTGGGATACACGACACTACCTGATCATACTAGACAAGACCTTAAACTAAGTTTTGATCTCGTCCTTTTTTGCTGATCAAGACATGCAACGTCATGCAATGAGGACAAATTGCCAATGCCAAGTGATTTTCCGTTGCGAAAAGTTGCGGCAATTCAATATACTGTATATAGACCAAAACTTTACATGAAAATGTTTTTTTGTTCAAATAATACTTCTGCGTGTAAATTATTTATTTTAAATATTAGGTATACATCTGGTTTAGGGTCATGTTACTTCCATTTTGCGATTGTGAATGTCAACTGAGTTCACACATTGCTATTTCATACATTACAGTTACGGGCAAGAGTATATCGGTGGATGGACCAATAATTAAAGCGTAGTGTATCGATTTACCAGTATAATTAAATCACACCGCGTTATCCCACATCAGCCACTATTTGTTTTTGGCGATCATTGGGATTTACAATTTAGTTAATGGTGTTGCATTGAGTAAATACCAAGCTTAGACATTGATTTTATCTGAGCTTCTTAACACACTTTCTAGTTGTAATCTACTTCTTATCATCAGATTACTCTAAATATCCAAATTGGAAGAATCTTTTCCGATACTTCCATCTGCCGCAAAAATGGCACACAATTACCTATCTATATTGGCCTTTTCAGGAATGGTTTCCTTTTCCTAGTGACCTTTTAGAAAAACATACGTTTGTTGCTTGCATAAGAGTGGGATGGATACAGCAGCGACGTTGATGAATTGGGTCG